CCTCTTCTCCGTGTCTCTTCTACATCAACATGTGTCCCCTCTTCTCCGTGTCTCTTCTACATCAACATGTGTCCCCTCTTCCTCATGTCTCTTCTACATCAACATGTGTCCCCTCTTCTCCGTGTCTCTTCTACATCAACATGTGTCCCCTCTTCTTCATGTCTCTTTTACATCAACATGTGTCCCCTCTTCTTCATGTCTCTTCTACATCAACATGTGTCCCCTCTTCTTCATGTCTCTTCTACATCAACATGTGTCCCTTCTCAATGTCTCTTCTACATCAACATGTGTCCCCTCTTCTCCATGTCTCTTCTACATCAACATGTGTCCCCTCTTCTCCGTGTCTCTTCTACATCAACATGTGTCCCCTCTTCTCCATGTCTCTTCTACATCAACATGTGTCCCCTCTTCTCCATGTCTCTTCTACATCAACATGTGTCCCCTCTTCTCCATGTCTCTTCTACATCAACATGTGTCCCCTCTTCTCCATGTCTCTTCTACATCAACATGTGTCCCCTCTTCTTCATGTCTCTTCTACATCAACATGTGTCCCTTCTCCATGTCTCTTCTACATCAACATGTGTCCCTTCTCCATGTCTCTTCTACATCAACATGTGTCCCCTCTTCTCCGTGTCTCTTCTACATCAACATGTGTCCCCTCTTCTTCATGTCTCTTCTACATCAACATGTGTCCCCTCTTCTTCATGTCTCTTTTACATCAACATGTGTCCCCTCTTCTTCATGTCTCTTCTACATCAACATGTGTCCCCTCTTCTTCATGTCTCTTCTACATCAACATGTGTCCCCTCTTCTCCATGTCTCTTCTACATCAACATGTGTCCCCTCTTCTTCATGTCTCTTCTACATCAACATGTGTCCTCTTCTTCATGTCTCTTCTATATCAACATGTGTCCCCTCTTCTTCATGTCTCTTCTACATCAACATGTGTCTCCTCTTCTTCATGTCTCTTCTACATCAACATGTGTCTCCTCTTCTTCATGTCTCTTCTATATCAACATGTGTCCCCTCTTCTTCATGTCTCTTCTACATCAACATGTGTCCCCTCTTCTTCATGTCTCTTCTACATCAACATGTGTCCCCTCTTCTCCATGTCTCTTCTACATCAACATGTGTCCCCTCTTCTCCGTGTCTCTTCTACATCAACATGTGTCCCCTCTTCTCCATGTCTCTTCTACATCAACATGTGTCCCCTCTTCTTCATGTCTCTTCTACATCAACATGTGTCCCCTCTTCTCCATGTCTCTTCTACATCAACATGTGTCCCCTCTTCTCCGTGTCTCTTCTACATCAACATGTGTCCCCTCTTCTCCATGTCTCTTCTACATCAACATGTGTCCCCTCTTCTCCATGTCTCTTCTACATCAACATGTGTCCCCTCTTCTCCATGTCTCTTCTACATCAACATGTGTCCCCTCTTCTCCATGTCTCTTCTACATCAACATGTGTCCCCTCTTCTCCATGTCTCTTCTACATCAACATGTGTCCCCTCTTCTCCGTGTCTCTTCTACATCAACATGTGTCCCCTCTTCTTCATGTCTCTTCTACATCAACATGTGTCCCCTCTTCTACATGTCTCTTCTACATCAACATGTGTCCCCTCTTCTTCATGTCTCTTCTATATCAACATGTGTCCCCTCTTCTTCATGTCTCTTCTACATCAACATGTGTCCCCTCTTCTTCATGTCTCTTCTACATCAACATGTGTCCCCTCTTCTCCATGTCTCTTCTACATCAACATGTGTCCCCTCTTCTTCATGTCTCTTCTACATCAACATGTGTCTCCTCTTCTTCATGTCTCTTCTATATCAACATGTGTCCCCTCTTCTTCATGTCTCTTCTACATCAACATGTGTCCCCCTCTTCTTCATGTCTCTTCTACATCAACATGTGTCCCCTCTTCTTCATGTCTCTTCTACATCAACATGTGTCCCCTCTTCTCCATGTCTCTTCTACATCAACATGTGTCCCCTCTTCTTCATGTCTCTTCTACATCAACATGTGTCCCCTCTTCTTCATGTCTCTTCTACATCAACATGTGTCCCCTCTTCTTCATGTCTCTTCTACATCAACATGTGTCCCCTCTTCTTCATGTCTCTTCTACATCAATATTGTGTAACCATTAGCCAATCAGCAACCAAGGTAACCCCCCCCCCCCCACCTTATCACCTGAATCTCCTCCTAGAGCACCATTGTGTTCTTTGTAACCAAATGTCTCTCAGAGGGGCGTGGGGAGGGGCTCCTTGTTTTCATCTAAAGTAACAGACAGAGAATCAGCACTTTGGAAACAGGGCTGAAACAGAGGGCATTATGGGTAATGCTGCAATGATCTGTTTGGTGTTTCAGCCAATCAGAGACAGGTTCTGTATATATCTGAGACCTGTGATATACTGATGAAAAACAGTATAACGGGCGACCTTTTAAAGTAATTTTCGCTTGCAGGACTTTCTTCAACTGTTTAACGGCAGTCAAATGGATGTGTGGCTTTAACTCTCATTGCTGTCTGTTCTGCAGGTAATTCACTGAGGGAAGACTTCACCTTCCGTCACTCCTTCAGCTCCGAAGTGACCAAACTGCTCAAAGCCTCGCCCGGTCAGATCGTCACCTCTCATCCCGAAAAGTTCCGCTCTAAATACGAGCCAGCGTCGCACACACTCGCAGTGGAGGTACTGTCCGTTTGATCATTTGATTTGAACTGGTTTCATTGGGTATTAAAACTCCATAAATGAATGTGCTTTCTTAGTTTAAGTGTTAAATGGACCAAAAAGCAATCATTTATAAGACTTATTTCAAAAGGAGTCACTTTGAACTCTAGACACATTTGTTAATTTATTTCCCAGGACTCCACGGCGGTGTCGGAGGTGCAGGAGTTCTTCAAAAAGCACGTGATTCCCCTGGTGGGCCACAGAAAACCAGCCAATGATGCCAAGCGCTACACCAAGACACCCCTAGTGGTGGTTTACTATGGAGTCGACTTCAGCTTTGACTTCAGGAAAGGTGAGTTTTCTGCAGGTTTGACCCTGGATCATAAAGAGGTCTGTGATGTGATTCTCCTCATTCATTGTATGAATTCCGTTTTTAAGGACTTTAATTATTGGTACTTTATTTATGGCATCCTCCTAGATTTTACGTACTTTAAAAAGAACTATAGTTATCAACATGTTTGACATATTAGTGTCATTTAACATTTTTAAGTCTTAATATGCTCTGACTTTTTTGTAACATATTTAATGAGTGACTTTTTGTAATATTTTCAGCTATACATTCCTAATTTGTTTTAAACATACTTAATTATACTATACTATTGTATTATGCTGTTTTTCTCTCATATATTTGAGATACAATACTTTACAGTTCTTAATATTTTCAACATGCTCTACTAATCAGAATACCTTTATTAGTCCAGAGGGGAAATGTGCGTAGTTACAGCTTAATGTGACATGCATTCAAAACAAAGTACTAAGTTATGATATAATAAAAAAAGTTACATAATTACACATCCTGTAGTTCTTAGGATTTAGCAGCCAGGTATATATTACAGTTATTAACGGCATATATATATATTGCACATAGGTGGTTGGTATTTAACAGCAGCAAGTTACACAATTTACAAAATACACACCTTGTAACAGTTCTAAGGATTTAGCAGCCAGGTATACAAATAAGGTATATACGGTTTTACTGATATTTTTGACATACTATGAAATTAATTATTTATTTTTTGGGGCATTTCTTATGATAAACTCTTAATGGGGTTATCTGACATCGTCAACAACCAATAATAATGATTACAAATTGTGCAAGATTTACAATGCAGTCACAAAACCCCTTTAACCTTGTTTGTCTTTTATATTGTTTTTAGCCACGCAGTTCTGGAGGTCCAAGGTGCTCGAGGTGGCCAAAGACTTCCCTGAGTACACGTTTGCTATCGGCGATGAGGAGGACTACGCAGAGGAGCTGAAGAGCCTCGGCCTCAGCGACAGCGGAGAGGAAGTGAACGTGGGGATTTTGGCAGATGGGGGCAAAAAGTTCGCCATGGATCCAGAAGAGTTTGACGCTGACGTGCTGAGAGACTTTGTGAAGGCTTTCAAGAAAGGTGAGGGCTGAGTTGTTGTTGTGGTCAATTTGCAAAGATGGGGTAACAACTTCTCTAGTGGAAATCCTGTTTTATTTAACTCATAAGAGCTGAGGTTTAACTTCCCAAAATAGACCCAAACATGTTTCTAGTGGTGTTTTAAGGGTTAATCCGCTCTAACACTTTGGACTGAAATGAATTCCACATTTGTTCTGAACTTCTTTCTCTTGTCAACAGGAAAGCTGAGCCCCGTCATTAAGTCCCAGCCGCTGCCAAAGAACAACAAAGGACCCGTTAAGGTCGTGGTCGGGAAAACCTTTGATGAAATCGTCATGGATACCCAGAAGGATGTCCTGATTGAGTTTTATGCCCCCTGGTGTGGCCACTGCAAGAAACTGGAGCCAGATTATGTGGCTCTGGGCAAGAAGTACAAGGGGGAGAAGAACCTGGTGATCGCCAAGATGGACGCCACGGCCAACGACGTGCCAAACGAGAACTACAAAACGGAAGGGTTCCCTACGATATACTTGGCCCCAAGCAACAGCAAGCAGAGCCCCATTAAATTTGAAGGGGGAGACAGAACTCTAGAGGGCTTCAGCAATTTCTTGGAAAAGCACGCCACAAAGCTATCGCAGAAAAGAGACGAACTTTGAAAGCCTCTAGCTAAGAACTCTCAACGCAGCGGAGATACAAACGGTGTTACTGAGATGCTGCGATGATTACAGTTCAATATTATTTTTTGTTTTCTGTTCATTCCAAGGGATTCAGCTTTCCTATGTTTCTGGAAAAAAGCATGTAAGCACTGTTGAGGATTTCCATCTTTTTAAATAAAAGAATGGCGGCTCTGAAGGCCAGCACTCAAATTCTCAATTTGTTTTCAACTGTAAATCAACACAAGTGAACAATGCAGATTAAAAGGTTTTAATAACAATTTTAATATTAGTAAAACAAATGTCTACAATCTGAGACGGGCTTTAAATTCATGGATAGCTCTTGCAGTTCAGTAACTAAAGTTAGTCAGGTTAGTTAATGAACTAACATGTCATTGAATAATACATCCAGCTAGTTTTTCTAGGGGTCTTGGCAGGAGAGAAATGCATTTGTGAAAACATCTGAACGAATACTTTTTCAATTACATAGAATCAGCATTTTAACATCGTTCTGAGTAATACAAACCTGGCCGGGTAGATCTTTGTGAAAGTGCATAATTTAGTGACAATAGTTACAGCTTCACATAGGACATCTAATTTGTACTAGCTGCATAAACAAGGAAGCAGCATAGACGTTTTTCACTGATGCAAAACAGTGAAAATATCTTTAAAAATCAGATTTAGTAGAACACAGCCTCGAGCTGACTAAGACGGCTCCTTCCACACAAAGGCACTTTAAACGGGCACTGATTGGGTCTTCTGCTGAGAAGCTCGTTAGGAAAACTGCTTTGTGAAACGCACGTGAAAGTCCCGGATTTTCTGCAGCACAACCTTCAGCTTCTCAGTGGGAGGCAAGATGGTCATCCTGGTGAAGCAGCAGGAAGGGAGATATGGTTTAATAGCACTACAGATTTAGTGGATGAGACTAATTAACCTTTTTTTACATTGATCCATATAAAGAAGCGGGACTAACCTGAAGTGATAGGTTCCCTCTCTCTGGCCAAATCCACTCCCTGGCACGAGGCAGATGCCCTCCTCCTCTAGCAGCCTCATGCAGTACAACATGTCTGGAGCCAGACCTTCCTCCTGGGGACGGACACACATGAAAATGTATTTAAAGGTCTCCTATTATGCTATTTTTAGGCATATATTATGGGTCTCAGATATAAAAACATGTCTGATATGTTTTGCTCAAAATACCAAACCGATCATGCATTTTAGACATCCCTCATATCCCTCTATTCCAGCCCTGTTAGAGAAACGCTGATTTGGGTCCTTAGGGGTTATCTGCTCAGAATTACCCGGCAGATACTCAGTCAAATTCTGCCGTGATTAAACGCCAGCATGTTCTAAACCACATCAAGGATTATTTCTGAAGCAGTATGGAACTCAAATGCTTTTTCTCTCATGGGTTTTCCACAAGGTGAGTTCCTTTCCTTATTTCCTTTTTTTCTCACATGCTCTCTCCAGTACAGGTTAGCTCTGAGTGTTAGCGATGCTAATGTAAACAAAGACCATATTACGTCCAAAACAGTCGGGCATTGTTTCTGATAGCAACGTTTCTGATTGGGCCGTGGGTCCACATTTCAGATATTACGTCATATCGGACGCAAATCTGGATCAGCTCCGTTGTTCCCCTGTTTTTAGAGATTTGGGTACGGAGGAAAAGAGAAGGTTTTGTTTTCTGACACACCGGGGACACATTTATGTATAAAAGACATCAAAAAGTACATTTAGCATGATAGGTCCCCTTTAACATCGATGAGTGAATCCAGGTGAGATGACGTTAGTGTGCAGTGCATACCTTAGCTGTGTCGATAGCCCTCTGCGGCAGAGTGATGCGGGGGAAGGTGTACATGGCCCCCTGCACAGGGTTACAGATGATACCTGGCACTGTGTTGAAGGTCTTCTCCGTCAGCCCCGCCTTCTCTGCTAACGCTGCAAGAACCTCCGTCCGCTCCTGAGGAGGAAGCACAAGCAAACACAACGTTATATTGTATGTCGAAATATACTATGTTTTTCTTTACTTTTTTAAACATAATATACTATGTCAAAAAAATCTAAACAGTAGTCGAAAAAAACGACATAGCATTTTATGTCGAAATAAGGCATAGTAAACCATGTAAAAATAGGGCATGATGAAAGAAGGGAAAATTGGAAATGTCATTTTTTAGACGATATGTTTGTACTATATCTTTTTTTTCTTCCTTCCTTTTATAATATTGTTTTACTCCACAATCACCCCAAAATACTATATATATATATCGAACGTTTTTTCAGAACATACCATTTGAAGCTGATTATTTCCTTATTCAGGGCCATGTGAGAACAGCAGGCATTATGTGCGGTGGTGTTTATAACGGTTTGTTTGTGTTGTGAGTTGTTCCTACCTTCATAAAGGTGCTGTAGGAGGGCTCGTCGGGCTGGGGGGGGTTCACCACCAGCTCCAGGAGAGCCTGGCCGGTGACGGGGGGGCACAGACGCACCGACACCAGCTTCGTGAGCTGGGCCTTCACCTCAGGGTCCATGTTGATCACCTCCATGTAGCCGCCGCGAAACCCACACCTGACCAGAGGAAAACACAAAGTAAACTCTTAGTGAACGTCAACAGCGGGAGCTTAGGTCTGTGTGTTTTATCAAGCATGTGATAAAAGGGAAGATAAGATAAACCTTTACTGATCCATGTAGGGAAAGGAGTCAAAGCAGCCAAATGTACCTATAGGCAACACTTTTAATAATAAGAAATGTTCAATAATAATAATAAATGAGATACAAAATTGCTTCAGTGCCCTTATTCTAAATGCATATATGTATGTATTAATACATCAACTGAATTAAATGAACAAATCTACATTTACTTATGAAACAAACAAACAATGTATTCTTTTAAATGCTATAATACACTTTGTCATGGCAGACATCGGCCGATACAGATTACTTTAGAGTTTCCCACTCATCAGTATACCACTAGTGTAGTATACAAGAAAGTCTGATTCAACACTTGATTAGATTTCACATCATTCATCCAGATCTGTAAAGTAACTAAAGGTATTAAGGTGTGTGTGTGTGTGTGTGTGTGTGTGTGTGTGTGTGTGTGTGTGCGTGCGTGCGTGCGTGCGTGTGTATATATATATATATATGTATATGTATACACTCACTCCCCCATGTAGCATTTGGAGGTGGAGTGGAAGGAGGCCATCTCCACGGTGCTGGAGAACTCTGGTCCCATCTCAAACAGCACTTTCTTAAAGGAGTGGAACTTGCAGCCCTCTGCGTACACGTTGTCCTGGTACACCTGGAGAGGTACAGCATGTTAGTTAAAAAACACCGTTATCCAGAACAGTATAATCTGATTTTACATTTCAATTCATTGTGTTTCATTTGTATTAACGTGTGCTCGCCTCTTTATTTAATATGCAATTTTACTTTTGCCTTTTATCTTCACTGTACCTTTGCTGTTGTAACCCTGGGTACATTAAAGTCGCTGTGGGACAAATACAATATTTCTGATCTGGACTCAGGAGAAATTGTTACAAGTAAAAAAACATACTATATCTAATAAGTTAGACAGGGTTCGTCACAAAAGTATGGTACCATTTTCATAAATAAAAAAAAGGAAGGTTATTAAATATTTGTAATCAGGCGAGTAATTACTATGCTAATTGTAACTTTTAAGACTAAATTCATTCTTTAATTCTGACACTTGGGACACCTCTTGTGACACTGGGTGCATAATTAATGTACAAATGGTACATTTTAAGGCTCAAATATTATTTTAGAATGAAGAAACAGGAAGTGAACTTCTGAATTGAGGAAATGACATTACTTCGTCAGCCATGAGGAAGAGATGCTCCTCTTTGGCAAATCGGATGACATCTTCAATGCACTTCCTGCTCTGGACCTGACCTGTCACACAGGACGAGCAGAGTTACAAGAAAGCTGGGCGTGCATTTCATAAAAATAACCTTCAATTCTACTTATTCTTATTCTTTATTAGGATCCCCATTAGCAGTAGCATCTTCCTGGGGTCATCACACACACAAAACATACATAAAACAAAACATCTCGTCTTTTCATGCAATTTACAGTGATATATGAAATGAAAACTAAAGTGGTCATCCAATCATAGGCCAAAAAAAATACAAATAAGTGTACATACAGTACATACCCACAGTTCAATTTTACTTTTATAATACTGACATAATTTGTTTGCAACCTTTTAAAATGTACTTGGGAATTTTCCTGAATGATATGGACCGGGAAAGAGTTCCAGCTGACCATGGCCATGTACATGATTGTTTTCTGTCGCCTATTTGATTTAGATTTGGGTAATACGAACCTTCCTTCTATTGCATGTCGTGTTTTGATAGTTATGTTGAGCATACTGCGCTATAAGCCTTTGTGATAATATATGTCCTACCAGTGGGGTTCCCGGGGTTGATGATGCAGATGACGCGGGGGTTGCAGTGTGTCCGGGCGGCGCTCAAGGCTCTCTTCAGCTCCGCCACGTCCAGACCCCAACACCTGTCCTCGTCCAGGTAGTAGCTGATCTGCACGGCAGCCAGGTCTGCCAGCGCGGCCGAGTACAGCGGGTACTGAGGGATGGAGATCATCACTCCTGTACGGTCGGGACCCTCGCCACACACCAGCAGCTTCAGCATGGTCTGGGGTCAGGGGTTGGAGAGAGGAAGGAGATGAGGGGACAAGAGAAAAGGATAAGACTTGAGGTGGTAGGAGTGAAGACATATATAAAAAATGTATATACATGTGGAAAAACAAGATACTGGACATTTGTATTTCCACATGTATATACATATTTTTTAATCTTTTTAATGTTATTTCATTTCTGAAATATATTAGACTGTTTATTTCTCTTATGTCCATTGTCTTGTGTTTTTTATGCTGCTGCAATGCAAACATTTTTCACCTATCTATCTGCCTACCTATCTATCTACCTACCTACCTACCTACCTACCTATCTATCTATCTATCTATCTATCTATCTATCTATCTATCTATCTATCCATCTATCCATCTATCCATCTATCTATCTATCTATCTATCTATCCATCTATCTATCTATCTATCTATCTATCTATCCATCTATCCATCTATCCATCCATCCATCTATCTATCTATCTATCTATCTATCTATCCATCTATCCATCTATCCATCTATCCATCTATCCATCTATCTATCCATCTATCCATCTATCCATCTATCCATCTATCCATCTATCTATCTATCCATCTATCCATCTATCCATCTATCTATCTATCTATCCATCTATCCATCTATCCATCTATCCATCTATCCATCTATCCATCTATCCATCTATCCATCTATCCATCTATCCATCTATCCACCTATCCATCCATCCATCCATCCATATATCCATCCATCTATCCAAATGGTGATGTCCCTTCCATTGACCTGGGTTCCCTGTAACCGTATGCAAAACCCATGGTCACAAATCTGGGTGTCAAAATTGACAGTGCTTTTAAATTGGATAAACAAATCAACTCTGTGGTTGAGTCCAGTTTTTATCAGTTGAGGCTCCTGTCCAAAATTAAACCAGTTTTATCCTTTTTAGACTTTGAGCGTGTAATTCATGCCTTTGTTTCTACGCGTCTAGATTACTGCAATGCACTTTATGCCGGCCTAAACAAGACCTCGCTGGCACGCCTGCAGCTGGTACAAAACGCTGCGGCTCGGCTGCTTACAGGAACACGCAAGAACACATCACACCAATTCTGGCTTCCCTCCACTGGCTTCCTGTCCATTTTAGAGTCCATTTTAAGATTTGTTTGTTTTTAAATCTCTTAATGGGCTGGCCCCAGAGTACATCTCAGACCTCCTACAGGTGTACACCCCCTCAAGGGCTTTGAGGTCGGCTGATCAGCTGCGGCTGGTAGTCCCTAAAACTAGGAAAAAGACCAGGGGAGACCGAGCCTTCTCAGCGGTAGCCCCCAGGCTCTGGAACGACCTGCTTTGTTGCCCACCCTTCAAACGTTTAAGTCCCGCCTGAAGACCCACCTCTTTTCCCTTGCTTTCGAGTCAGTTTGAGCTATGTTTTATCGATTGTTATGCTTTTATTTGTCTGTCCATAGCCCTTATGTGCCTTTTTTCTATTCTTATGTGTGCCTTTTATCTATTATTGTAATATTATATTTTATTATAATGTTATGTCTGCTGTGAAGCACTTCGGTAAAACCCTCTGTTTTTAATATGTGTTATATAAATGAAGTGGATTGGATATCCATCCATCCATCCATCCATCCATCTATCAGAGAAAAGCATGTAAAGTATTTCATAATGAAGGTTGATGTATGATGATTTGGCACCCAGACAGTTACATATAACTCACTGAACATCCGCAGATCTAATTTACAGCAGCAGAATAAACACACCTACATTGAGGCCAATATGTCACATTTTAATACTGCAGGCAACAGCACATGCTCTTGGTGCAGTAGTTTTGGAATAGTTGGAGTTTTTGAGGTGGGGTTGTATATCTGTAGTCACTCAGTGTATTAAAAGATTCAAGATACAGAGGCTTTATTGTTATATGCACAATAGCGAAAGCTTAGTTTTGGCAATTCAAATCAAGGCTCCTCCTACAGTGCAACACACTTAAGACATCAAAAGTAATAAAGTAGTGCAATAGGATGATGCAAGGGAAACAATGGTGCAAATAAAATGCAGAAATATGTTAACGTTCGCCTTGTTATGTAATCAATAAGTGGAACATTATAAATTAGAAGCTAGTGTCTCTTTGCAGACACGCACGGGCCCGACGCACTCCAATCGCAGCGCACAGCCGACGCACACCTGCTGGAGATTACTACAAAGCCTGGGGACAATTATCACTCTGGAGGCTCTCACATGTGGACAGACGCCTCTCGCTGCTTAGCGAATTCTGTTAAACTGTGGTTAAACTCGTGTGATTAGTAGTGTCTAGAGTAGCTTAGTTAGAGTGTAGAGTAGCTTAGTTAGAGTGTAGAGTAGCTTAGTTAGAGTGTAGAGTATCTTAGGATTTTGTGACTGTTGCCTTTAGTTTAGCTGTGTTTTTGTACAGCTTCCTTTAATTAGACTGTACCACTTTGACAGTGAGGGTTTTAGTTATTATTTAGTTCGTTATTATCTATTTCTTTGTATGTAAACAGGCTCCTTTTGTTAGAGTCCGACTCCTTCCTTTGTTTGTACCTTAGTTAAGTCGGCGCCCGTTTGTTTGTTCAGGCCTTCCATTTTGTTTCACCCTGTTATATAATAAAACTACTTGTAACTATTACCAATTCCATTCTGGTGTATGTTAATCTCCTCTACCCTAGAGGGGGACGTAACACTGTTGTAAATTACCCTTTGACCATACACGTCTCTAGTGTACCCAAAAAGTAGGTGGGTGGATATATTATAAATAACATTACGCCTGTTTTTAAAAGTAAATGGCATTTGTCCGATGAGTTGTTGATCTTCACCAATCTAGATTCGAACAATAGCATAACCGTCAGTTCTAGAAAAAAATAAACAAGTCCCTTAAACCCAAATCAAATTGGAAACCCCTATGAGCTTCCTGCAGGTACACATATGTCAAATAAGGGCGTGCAAACCTCAATCCACTCTATCTACTACACTGAATACGGACCTCATTTAACCCCTCTCCACAAAATCCTTGATCCTGATTTAGTTGCATAAAACTGGAAAAAGCTGCATCCTCAGTGGCAAAGGTCTATGGGTGGAGGATGTGCAAAGTGCAGCAGAGTGTATAATCAACAGGAGTTAAATAAAGAAGAGACTCACGGGGCGATTATACCCAGAGTGTGTCACATGTGCAGGGGTAAGGCAACAGATGAACTGATGGCCTACAGTGAGTCAGTAATAAATGGTGTAACGTGTACCACAATGGCGTCGCTGGCCCCGGTGGAGAGGTAGATGTTGTCGGGGTTGGAGGGGATCCCACCGTCTCTCTTCTCGATGTAGCGCGACACGTCCTGACGGATGCACTCGATGCCCTGGCTCGCACTGTAGGCCCCTGAGGTGGGAAGTAGTGGAGTACAAATACTTTGTTACTGTACTGAAGTACACTTTTCTGTTATCAGTACTTTACTCCACTAATTATTTTTCTGAGGACTTTTTACTTTCTACAGGTATTTGGGTTCAACATGTAAGAAACATGTTGAACCCAAATACCTGTACTTTCTACTTCTTACATGTTGACACAAATACCTGTACTTTCTACTTCTTACATGTTGAACACAAATACCTGTACTTTCTACTTCTTACATGTTGAACCACAAATACCTGTACTTTCTACTTCTTACATGTTGAACACAAATACCTGTACTTTCTACTTCTTACATGTTGAACACAAATACCTGTAACTTTCTACTTCTTACATGTTGAACTCAAATACCTGTACTTTCTACTTCTTACATGTTGAACACAAATACCTGTACTTTCTACTTCTTACATGTTGACTCAAAATACCTGTACTTTCTACTTCTTACATGTTGAACACAAATACCTGTACTTTCTACTTCTTACATGTTGAACTCAAATACCTGTACTTTCCTACTTCTGACATGTTGAACACAAATACCTGTACTTTCCATACTTCTTACATGTTGAGACTCAAATATCTGTACTTTCTACTTCTTACATGTTGAACTCAATACCTGTACTTTCTACTTCTTACATGTTGAACTCAAATACCTGTACTTTCTACTTCTTACATGTTGAACAGCAAATACCTGTACTTTCTACTTCTTACATGTTGAACAGCAAATACCTGTACTTTCTTACTTCTTACATGTTGAACCAAATACCTGTACTTTCTACTTCTTACATGTTGAACTCAATACCTGTACTTTCTACTTCTCACATGTTGAACTCAAATACCTGTACTTTCTACCTTCTCACATGTTGAACTCAAATACCTGTACTTTCTACTTCTCTCATTTTCCAAACAGCTGGTTCCTTAGTCTGAATGTGTGTTTGATGCGTGATCATTATTCTTTAGAGTCATTGCGTGCCTATTGATTTGAACACGATCCGTGTATCCATCATTTCCTGGTCTTCTCTAAAGAAGAGGGACCAATGGCAACGTTGTCATGTTGCCGTTGTTCAGCATGGAAACATTCATTAGCTAACAATGACATTATTGTTCTATTAATATAAAGGGAGGTCAGGTACTCTTTAAAACAGCTGCTAGTTATGGGTACTTTTTACTGAGTACATTTCAAAGCCTCTTTACTTTTACTTGAGTAAAGAAGTTTAGTCAGTACTTCTACCTTTACCAGAGTATTTTTAATCACGACTATCTGTACTTCTACTTGAGTAAAGGATGTGTGTACTTGTGCCATCTCTGCATGACAGTGAACTTTGATTTAAAAAGAACACTCACTGCCTGTTTGAATAGTCAAACACTGTCCAAACAAATGTTAATGAGTAGACGAATGGAGGTGGGTGCGATGGAGGGGGGGTGGATGTGGTTGGAGGAGAAAGGGGGGGTCCCATCTGACCTATACTGTGGCCCCCGCAGGCCCCGAGGATACGCCGGGCTCTCTGCTTGGCATCCTCTGGAAACTTGTTGTCGTCCAGGAGATCAGGGTACGCACACAGAGCCAGGACCTGAGACCGGGGGAGAGAATACAAATCCATCAGATACATTTAGACTGTGGTGTAAAGTAACAAAGTACATTTACTCAAGTACTTCAGTGCAATTTTACTTGTACTTTACTTGAGTATTTCCATATTTTGCTACTTTGTACTTCTATACCACTACATTTTATTTTGTACCTTTAGTTACTTTACAGATGTGGATGAAAGATGTGAAATATAATCAAGTGTTAAATCAGACTTTAGTTCCACCTGGAGTAAATCCACCAGCTACCCTGCAGTATACAAAGTCATTCAGACTAGCTGCACCTTTACCAGCTTTGAGAACACTTTCATGATCAATCATTATAAAACATATCATATATATTATTCTGAAACGGACCAATCTGCACAACGACTACTTTCACTGTCGCTACTTTCACTATATTTAGATGAGAATACTTTTCTACTTTCACTTGAGGAACATTTTGAATGCAGGACTTTTACTGTGACAGAGTATTCCTACACTCTGGTACTTCTCCTTTTAGTAGTACAAGATCTGAATACTTCTTCCACCTATGCATTTAGTCTGTGTAAATCCAGTAAAGCCAGTTTAACATGGAAGTATAGGAAACAGGCTTATAGCCAAGTAGGTTTACACATACGAGGCATTTGTCTTGGTGCATTTTTTCAACTATTATTTATTTGTTCAGCAATCTTAATACCTGTGATCTGAGTCTTGTAAATTGGGTCCGTGAACAAGTAGCACACACTTATACTTTAAATTCCCAGGCAGATATGATTTTATGGACACAGTTAAAGAAAAGAAAAAGTAAGAAAAAACAACCAAAAAATAAAATATAAGGCACTCAAAAGATGTCTGACCTGTCTGAAAAATGTGATTGGTTTCTGACCCATGGCGTGGGCGTCACCAATGTTTGCCTTGATGACTTCTGTGAAAGGTTTCTTGACTCCCTGAAAATACAAAAGACATAAAACACAGCATGTGAGAAGAAGTTAGAATAGGTTGACTTCTTGTATCTTAAATACTTTACATCCATTATCTCTTGCATGTTGCAACAGCTTCACAAACAGGATGTGTGAAACTTTGACGAGGGGAGGGAAGGAGACATTCATCTGGATAGGGAGGACTTTATGGCTTCAATTCAAATGAGGAATGAGGAAAGAACAGCGTCCTCCGCCCACTAGTCAATAACAGTTCAAATTGTCATAATTTAATCCTACGAGACATCTGTGTGAAATTGTCATTATTACAGTTATGGCCAAATATGTGTTTTGTGAGATCCTTGATTTAAAATGTTAAGACATTTACAGAATTAATGGGATGGAAAACCCTCAAAAACGAATGCTTCCAGCCGCAGCATGGAGACATAAAAACCTCTCTAAACAAAGAAAGGTATTCCCTTCTTATGCCCAGAGTCAAATAGAGAGAAAATGTTGTTTGCATATCCTGCACACCCTTGTTTACATTACCTAACCAAGAATACAAAAGTGATTCAACCGTGTTGATTTAGATTTCTTACAACTCCTGTGTTTGAAATTCAAAAAGGTATCCCGATGAGGAACATTTGTTTAGGGCTTTGGTGGTAGGAAAAGACAGACAGACAGACACACACACACACGCACACACACACACACACACACACACACACACACACACACACACACACACACACACACACACACACACACACACACACACACACACACACACACACACACACACACACACACACACTTCTTCTGCTTCTGGTTTCACTCAAGAACTGCTGCCTTAATCCAAAAGTGTGACAAGCTTGGTTCTTTTTCATTACATGTCCCTCCTCGTCTGAACCATTTGCTTCTTCTATCAACTCGGATCGACTCAGAGTCCTTCATATTGATCTCTTTGACTTAAGTGGACATTTAATCTTTAGTTTGGTGCCTGTAAGTCTGTGGGCCACAACATGCTGCAGCTGTTTATCAGATGACGTAATCAATGTAACAATAGATTGTCCAATGTTTCTTCATACCAGTGTTGCGCAATGAGGATTACATAGAAATCATGATAATCTTGAGTTTTATGGCTTTATAGTTTGTGAATTCAGAAAAATGTCATTAAATGAAGAGTCATTACATTTGACTGCAGGCTGACGTGACACTCGATGTATAATGAAACAGAAAATCTGATTAGATTAAGAAATGTTTGACTCTTTTTTACACAATTGCCCTGCAATATATATCTAATCAAATGCGTTGAAACCTGTCTCGTGTGAGTGAGTGCAAACATGTCCTAGTGGTTATCCAACTAGTGACTCATATCATATTACTAAACCCACACAAAGCTACAGACAGAGCTGCACATCAATTGGCAACACAAATGAAAAGGTTGCATCCCTTTTCTAAATATAGTTGGACTTTGCACTCTGCACTCATCAAGCCGTGATATTACATGATAACATATCAGGCAAAAGGCATCCAAGGGTACATGTAGCGCTTTCCGTTTGATTAAGTCAGTGTTAGCATTTCTATGACCTTACATGACAGCGGGAGCAAAGCACACCAGCTTCTCTGGGTTTATGGCCGGCTTGAGATGTGAGTAACTGGATGCAGCACGTTTCCTTTTCAGTCCTCGAGCAACAAAGACGCTGCTGTTCTCGGGGAAAGAGAGGAGCTCAGCACTGATTCTCCCTCGCTGCACCAGGCACTGATTACACAGGCCGGAGCCCAGAGAGACGAGAGAGAGAGACAAGAGAGAGACAAGAGAGAGACGAGAGAGAGACAAGAGAGACAAGAGAGAGACGAGAGAGAGACAAGAGAGAGACAAGAGAGAGACGAGAGAGAGACAAGAGAGACAAGAGAGAGACGAGAGAGAGACAAGAGAGACAAGAGAGAGACAAGAGAGAGACGAGAGAGAGACAAGAGAGAGACGAGAGAGAGACAAGAGAGAGACGAGAGAGAGACAAGAGAGAGAGAGACAAGAGAGAGAGAGACAAGAGAGAGACGAGAGAGAGAGACGAGAGAGAGACAAGAGAGAGAGACAAGAGAGACAAGAGAGAGACAAGAGAGAGACGAGAGAGAGACAAGAGAGAGACGAGAGAGAGAGACAAGAGAGAGACGAGAGAGAGACGAGAGAGAGACGAGAGAGAGACGAGAGAGAGACGAGAGAGAGACGAGAGAGAGACGAGAGAGAGACAAGAGAGAGGCAAGAGAGAGAGACAAGAGAGAGACGAGAGAGAGACGAGAGAGAGAGACAAAGAGAGACAGAGAGACAAGAGAGAGACGAGAGAGAGACAGAGAGAGGACAAGAGAGGAGACAAGAGAGAGACAGAGAGAGAGACAAGAGAGAGACGAGAGAGAGACGAGAGAGAGACGAGAGAGACGACAAGAGAGAGACAAGAGAGAGAGAGACAAGAGAGAGACGAGAGAGAGACAAGAGAGAGACAAGAGAGAGACGAGAGAGAGACAAGAGAGAGACGAGAGAGAGACAAGAGGGTGTCGTATTGTCATACTGATATTTTGTACAAACTGTAAAGTCCACTGAGACAAATGTAACATTTGTGATATTGGCTATAAATAAACATTGATTGATTGATTGATTGATTGATTGATTGAAGAGAGAGACGAGAGAGAGACAAGAGAGAGACGAGAGAGAGACAAGAGAGAGAGACAAGAGAGAGAGAGACAAGAGAGAGAAGAGAGAGAGAGAGAAGAGAGAGAGACAAGAGAGAGAGGACAGAGAGAGAGAGACAAGAGAGAGAAGAGAGAGAGAAGAGAGAGAGAGAGAGAGAGAGAGAGAGAGAGAGAGAGAGAGAGAGAGAGACAAGAGAGAGAGACAAGAGAGAGAAGAGAGAGAGAGCAGAGGGAGAGACAAGAGACCCTCAGGGCCACCAGGCTCACTTCTCACGTAGTCTATGATATCTTCTGATACACTGTCCTTAGTGTCCAGTCAGGCTAGAATACTAAGAAAGGTTTGCTCATGCGAAACAAGCAGCTCCTGCCAATGTTTTTCCACACAAAGAAAAAGAAAGAAAGAGAAATACTTTTGTGATTACACAAATTATAACTACATTTAAAAAGTTCTCTTCCCTGGTCTCTTGCTCTGTCGTCCTTGACAGTGCAGACTTTAGATCAAAGCTTAGCTAGATGTCTGGGTTAAGGATGAATAAGGGTCATCAACACACCAGCCGTATAACACACACTTGCATAAAATCTGCTGAGCCATCGGGAGAAGTGTTCCAGTCACAGGTCTGACAGGAAGCACACACTCCCAGCTGATTGGACATGGGATGCAAACCTCCTGACCTCACAGAAAAACTCCTGGATTTCACTTTCATTTAACTCCCTTTTTTATTGCTGCAAGAGTAACAAATGTCTGAAATCAAATCTGTACAATTGGTAAGCAAACGATGGTGCTGCAGGAGCGCTTCCTAGCTGCTCCAGCTGGGCTCCTTGTTCCTTTCATCACTGGAGGCTAAACAAGTGGATTCCCAGGAACTGGAGCACTTTGAGCAGAAACTGGGCTGCAGAGAAAGGCCTGTGACGCTACGGGGCCTCACAGCTGCAGCTCTGTCCAATGACCCCCCCCCCACTCCCCAGTGAGGAGGAGGGAGGTGAGCAAACCCAGAGACACAAAAGAGGAGAGAGAATGTCGCCTTTCATTTTACGTAATAACCTTCTACCATACACATCCTCTCTCTTTACCCCTGACATGCAAACACTTAGTACCTCCCTCCAGGATGTGGCTCTATAATAAAAAGGACATAACTTCAGAGGGCTGCGTCGCTCCTTGTTTAACGTGCTGAGGAATGCATGCTGGATCCAAATGACCACTGTAGGATGTAATGTGAGATGAGGAGTGCTGCGCAGAACATAGCAAGCTGTCATGCAGGGGCTTTTAAAAAACTACCTTCTACTTCCTGCCTCCACTCTCTCAGCACATGCTGTCAAATGCTCGGATGTCATTAGTCAGGTTTATAGCCTTCGTCTTTCCTCCCTCTTTGTTTTGTTGCCATATATATTGAGGAAAAAGAGCATGGTAAATAACTTGTCTTCCTTCACAGCTAATGATGGGTGCCAAAATACACTGAGAGCCACTCAAGGTTTGATTGATAAAAAAAGAGTTTGGGAAAATACAGTAATAATATTGTTGTGATGAAAAAAAGCAGGGAAATAACTCGTAAAACTCATTTCCAAAAGAAAAACAGACTAGTATTTGGCTTTTGGCTTAAGTCAATTTCCAGGTGGTTCAACCGCTTTTCACATCTTCATATCCCACAAACACGTTATTTAAATTCTCAACATTTGGAGTTTACTATATGCTTGTATGTGAAACACAATAAAACCAAATGTTCCACATAAAAGCGTCAACTTCCCCGTCATATCATGGAAATGAATAATAACCGCTTTATAAACTTCCCGCATCAGCACGACTGTTATAATAATAAAAACATCCCTTGTGCATGATCAACAGTGGTGTAGCCTATAGTAACTATGTTCATTTACTCAAGCACTGTAATCAAGTACACTTTTGAGATACTAGTACTTTACTTGAGTATTCCAATGTTGTGCAACAAGAGTCCTACCCCCACCTCTGTGCGTTATCTCGCTAAACTCCACGAGTCTTCACCTCTTTCAGCTCCTTCTCTATCTGCTCCGCGCGCTGCACGATGGCTCCTCGCACCGCGTACTCCACCTTCCTCACGTTGGGGTTCATGTTCTCCAGGGTCAGCACCTTGCCCCCGAACCCGTTCATCGCCTGATGTGACATGTTGCTTCTGTCTGGGTATCTGGAACAGAGAAAGAGTTGTATACACTGCACAGTGAACAGCTGTGACTGTACGCGGGCAGTTAAAGGGCGCCAGGAGTTACCCTCAGAGCTGGAAGAAGTATTCACATTCTCCTTTTGTAAAAGTACAATCAGGTAAATGTACTTAAAGTATCACAGTAAAAGTACTCATTGTGCAGAAACATTGTGTGTATAATTTATTATGTGACATTTCTAGATAACATTGTTGCATTAAGTCGCATTTGACTGTTGTATACAAACAAAGCTCTGATGACTTTTAGTAGGCTACATTATTCAAATAGTTTGTCTCTTTTGTGATTTAAAGAATCCACTAGTTAAAAGTAGCTGTTTAAGAAATGTAGCGAAGTATATTTCCACTATTTCCCTTTTGGAGTAGAAGTAGCATTACATGGTAATACTCAAAAAAGGTACCTCACAATTGTACTTAAGTGCAGTACTTGAGCAAAATAACTCACCAGCTCTGCCAGTTGTTCCGCGAGGAGCTCAGAGTGCTCGCCTCGTGTTGTTTACCTCCACACGCACTCCTCGAGCTCCGAATAACAGTTGAGCCTCTCGTGTTCATATTCCCACCCGCGAGACACGCCTTCGCTCGTGGTTGGCTGGTTCCTTCTCCAACTTCCCCTCACAATTCAGCGTGCCATAAGGACGCATTTACGTGCCGGAGGAAATATATAACATCCAGGGGATCTTTACGTACAGGAATGTAGATATCCCACTTCTTCACAACCCTGTTCTCTTAAAGGCAGAGGTGGAAGAAGTACTCAGTACCAGAGAGTAGGAATACTCTGGTGCAAGTAAAAGTCCTGCATTCAAAAGTAAAAGTAGAAAAGTACTATCATCAAAATAAACTCAAAGTAGGCTACCAAAAGTAGTCATTGTGCAGATCGGTCCATTTGAGAATTATATATATAATGATATGTTTTGATTATAATTATTGATGCATTAAAGTGTTAGCTTGTGAATTTACTCCAGGTGTAACTAAAGTCTGATTTGTGAAATTATAGTAAAAGTATACATTACAATTAAAATGATAGATATGGATAGTCATTTGGACAATTAATTATTGGGTCACTCATGAATTGTAATTTAAGAGTCTATCATTCTGTACCAAAGGGACAATATAAAAGCAGTGCTGCGTTCGAAACCTAAACAAGTTGTGTGTCTCTTTAAGGCAGACAAACCACATTATGGTAATGTAGTAAAACGAGTGTTTGAGGAAATTAAGTTGGGTGTGTATTTTACATAAATGCTTGGGTGTGTTGCAAGGAATTAAGGGGAAGCATATTTTTCTCAGGGATCCTTTAATCCATCATGTGCTCTGCATTAGGAACAAGAGTTTTGAGAAAGGCTCTTACAATGCAAAGGTTATTTTCTGCAAGTTGCAAAATTGTTAATAAGTGGACAAAAGCAGACTTTCCAGTAGCTCACACCCAAACGTACTTTTTAAATGAAACTTGAGGACATGTTTTGGACGAATGTGGGGGTAATGAGAGACTTGGAATTTGGTCAACAACAAAAGGGAGTAAGAGTTAGGAATGCAGACAAGGCAAGGATTTCAAAGCAGATCGAAGCTGTTGTGCCAAAAAACCCTTTGTTAGTGCAACAGAAAGAGAGACACAGAATAAGCTGTGAGTGAGAGACAGAGTAACCCCCCGAGATGTCCTGGAAAGGTCTTGGAAAGACATTTGATATCCCAACATGTGATGTCCCTGCAGTGCGTATTTTGGCAGCATCACCTGACACTGTTCCATTTCAAACCACACCTTCATTTGAAGGACGCATCGACAAATAAAACGTTCAAACAACTCTCTGTTAGTCGCTCACAGCCCTCAAAGTTAAAACATCTCTGAATATAAGCAGGGGTTGTATTGAACACACTTCATGCACAGCTGTTACCAAGGCCACATACAACATGTGCTGCAGAGTGTGTGTGTGTGTGTGTGTGTGTGTGTGTGTGTGTGTGTGTGTGTGTGTGTGTGTGTGCAGAGATTCTTAAAAGGGAAACTAACTTCTTGACAAGAGTCCCAAAAGTTCTATGTACATGCAGGGGCGCCGTAAAGGGGTGAACAGTTAGGACGATTCTAAGGGCCCGTGACTGACATTACATTACATTACTTGTTAGACGTTTTTAACCAAAGCGACTTTCATACTCAATACTGTGGACAATGCCGACAGGAGCAATTTGGGGTGAAGTGTCTCAGGGACACAACGACATGCTGACTGCAGTGGGGTTTGAACCTGTGACCCCCTGATCCGAACACCTACGGACACCCCACAGAGCCACACGCCTCCACAGGCACTGCCTGGGGCCCAAACTACTTTAGAACATTAAGAAAAAAATGTTTAAGTAACCAATGTGATATCTGGGGCCCAAAATCCCTTGCGGCGCCCCTGTGTACATGTGATACTTTTAAGTGTAGGGAAGGGTTTATTACGTACATCATGTGCTTCCCTACGCAGGTGGATCAGGACGGAGCGCGACATTCGAGATGAGCTGAAAGTGAGTGACCACATGATGTAAGAGGAAGAGGAAAAGTCTTTGTGCATAACACTTTTACATTTTCACCACGAGAGGGAGACATCGCTCACTTCATGTCAACAAGACAGTCAGTTCCCTCAACACACGTGTCAAACTCAAGGCCCGGGGGCCAAATCAGGTCCTTGGTGGATTTAATTTCGGCCCGCAGGATAATGTTTAATTGCCATTAGATCTGGCCCGCACACCTTCACTCCATCCTGAGGGTCTCCTCCGCTCAGAGCCTGAGCCCAAACATTGATGACCTTGCACCCAAGATGAGATGCCAAGTATCTGAACTAGCATCACCGAGCAGCACACTGAGCTCAATGGATGTTTCCTTCTGCACTTTTTCTCACGACAACAGGGCATGTTTGGTTTTGGAGGGAAATAGTTTTGTTGAAGCTGTTGTTGGCCTGTGGGAAAATGTACTCATAAGAAATGACTCTGGAAAAGCTGCAGATAGAGCCGTAAGAAATGAATGCAGCTGATTATTTAATGTTGTTTTTATGTGCAATAATTTAAGCTTTGTTAGTTCCAGGTTTAATATGTGCAATAAGTTCATTTCAATACGTCTTGCAATAAACATTGAACCAGTCTGGCCCTCGACTAGTACCGTTTATTTTATTTTGGCCCACTGTGTATTTGAGTTTGACAACAAGTTAAATTAAGCGTAATGTGTAAAGGTCCCCAAAACATCATGTGTCTTCATAAACGTGTATATCTAAACCAGACAAACACATCAACCAAGATGTATTAAAATGACCTCTTGCAGAAAAGACAAAAACATTAATGAAAACTTTTTTTTTTTTTTTTTTTAATGTCGTTTTTTTTCTTAACAGGGCTCAGTAAAATCACGAGCAAAACTGAATTGCAACACAGAAATGAGAGTGCATTGACCGCACGTCACGTAGGAGTTCATATCGGACAGATCATTTGATCCCACTGCTCATCAACTCTATGTGGGACTTTGTGCAAGCATTGCAAACCTAAATCAAATCTGCCACCTAAGGAAGGCACCAACCTGTGAAATAAATGACAAGTTCACTTGGTTTGACAACTTCAATTATATATAATTTCTCTAAATATCTTGCTTTCAAACTTTTATCTTAAAAAAAAAAAAAATGGAACTGTACACCGTCAGCCATATTCAGTATTAGATAATAAATAATGTGATTCCATTCAGAGGGTAGAAAAATAGAAATACTGACAGAAAAATAGAAGTGATTATGATGGATCCACTGATCTCAATATAAGCATTTATGATCGCTAATTATTTTAAATAAAAAACACTTCAATTACGAATCGCACCGTTACACATGTAGGCTTTTCTGTGCACTGGAAAAGTAACAAAAAAAAACAATCAAGGAAATGTCTTCATCTTTCTGTAAATGAACATTTAGAGGAGCTATACTGTATACTGAAACTATCATGACCAAGCAATCTCTCATGCACAAAGCAATCTCTGGCTCGTAATGGAAATGCATGCAAATCTGGATCAGAAAAGAAAACATCTTAATTTGAAACAAGTAATCTTGAACTGAATTTCATTCATCTGAAATGTTATTGTGTAGTAAACGATAAATAAAGTAATAAACAAAAGGCAGAATAAAGCAATTATTTGGTTGTGATTGAAAAACTGGGATCCGTCGTTTTTCTTTTAGTGTCTCACGTACACCTGACATCCGGAGGGAGCCACAGGGAATGTTAGGACCTTTAGTGGAGGGTGTGTATCGTGTTAAAAAACGATAAGCAAATGGGAAATAAGCACAAGGATTGCCCCTCAGTCACTGAAATGCTGCGTGGATCAAACCCTCATTGGCATGTGGCCTTAACTCAGTCTTTAAGGATTTTTTTGTCTGTTCTGAAAGCTTTTTTGCCACTTTGGAGTGTATAACGCCGGCTTATTTACTCTGCAGGTAGTGTGTGTGTGTGTGTGTGTGTGTGTGTGTGTGTGTGTGTGTGTGTGTGTGTGTGTGTGTGTGTGTGTGTGTGTGTGTGTGTGTGTGTGTGTGTCTACATGAGTCCACAGCAGGGCTCCTTATTGTTAGACTGCTCCTCCTCAGGCGCTCTGAGTTTCAGAAGGGGAGGGTCTCCGCTGGCGGGGGTGAAGTACACCTGGCTGGGGGAGGTGAGCTCCTCTGCAGGGGGGGGGGCGGTCTGGACCTCATGCTGTGCCTGAGGGGGGGTCAGCTCCGCGGCAGGCTCCTCCTCCAGGGCAGGGGGCAGCGGGGGTTGAGGGGCTGGGTACTTGTTGAGCTTGGCGGCGGCTCGCTGGCGCTTCAGGTCGGCCAGCGTTTGGTGAGATTTCTCCCGAGTCATACTGTCCGCCCCCTCCCCCTCCGAGGGGCTGAGCTGGTAGGAGGCGCTGCGGTCCATCAGACCTCCTCCACTCCACACCTCTCCGGGGACAGAGGACGCCGGAGACAAAGACGTCCCTCCGTTACCCAGGCTGGACACAACGCTCCTGTCTGCAGACTCCAGCTCCTCTAGGCGGGACGTGGCTCCGACACCAGCGACCTGGAGCAGCAGAGAGAACATTGAAGACAATCAGCTTCAACTAGTTGTGCAAAAGTGAGACAGCAACCATGAGACAAACGAACACAGACCCATGTCGCCCAAATTGTCAGCATTGTGAACACTGGTCCTCTTTATTTGTTTAGTTTAATACTTTATCTACCTTAGTGTCCTTAAGTGAAGAAAACAAGAAAACGTTCACCCCGTTTTCTTGTTCACCCCTGAACCGGAGTTTGGTAGTAGTCATACCCCCATGCTAGAACTCTTTGAAAATGTAAGAATAAACAGTAAGAACTAGACAAGACATTATTGATTGACTAAATTGTCGTGTTTTTTTGGACTTGTTTTGTTTTAGTTTTGTGTACCTTGTACGGCGACCTTGAGAGCCGCCTTTATAAATAAAATGTATTATTATGTTTCTTTTTCCTAACAGTTACAACCAGCTTGTTAAGAAGTTTAATCGGCTTCATCTAGCGATGTACAAGTTAGACTGAAACCACGACACAGGCCTCCTCAGCGTCATGTCAGCCTGTCTCCTGCCTCTCTCTCACCATGGTGGCATGCCGGTGCAGCTCGTTGTCCGTCTGTCTGTCCTCGTCCTCGTCCTGAGACTCCGGCTGTCGGCCGCGCTCCTGCCACACCATGGCCTCTTTGTGGTGCTCGCGCCGGTACAGACTGGAGCGCTCGTTCACACTGACGCGACGTACCACCTTGCTGTACAGACAAACGAGAGAGAGGGGGACATATAGGTTTAACTGCTCCAACTTCATGTGTACTTTCTTCCCCCTCTGGTCTGTAATGCTCCCTCTCACCCTCTGCTGCCGGTGCTCGAGGCTCGTCTCTGCAGCGTTCCTTTCTGTCGGTCCTGGCTCTTCATGATGGCTTCATGTTTGTGTTTCAGGTCCATCAGTTTGGCTCTGACCTCTTCATCCATACACACATCTGAAACGCCAGTAGAAGCAAAGGTTAGACACATGGAAGGAAATATGCTAACAAGAATCAACAGGCCTTTAAGAAATGTATCAGGATAACTAGTTCCTATTTTAGCCCAGGCAGTTTATACCAAATTCTAGCAGGGTGATTGTTGCTTTTTAAGTAACTGCATAGCCTGGGTGCCACTGGAATTACAATCAGATGAAAGCTATTATGGCTTTTTTGCCATAAATGATCTTACCCAGAGGCGTCTCGTCCAGCACAGACTTTGTATTTAAACTGGCTCCATGTGCCACCAACAGTTCCACCATCTGGATCTATGGATCACATAGAAACATAGAAATGGTTCATTTAAGAAAAGTGGAAGGGTTTTATCCTCTGACGTGTGACGCAGCACTCACTTGTCCCCAGCAGGAGGCGGCGTGCAGCGGCGTCCAGCCGTCAGAGTCCCTCGCCTCCATCTGAGCTCTGTGCTCCACCAGCAGCTCCGCCACGGACACGTAGCCGTTAGCCGACGCTATGTGGAGCTGGAAGAGAAGTCCGTTTAACATAGGGAGAAGCACTTACAGTCTAGATTTCTATGGCCGAAAAAAAACCTGATGTAAAATGAAATGTCCAAATGCATTCAGAAAAAGCTACAACACACATTTCCTTTGTTCTGCTGATTTAGAACTTCTCTGTTCACACATCCGTGACTAATAATAGGAACCTGTTTCGATATTGAATTGTAACCTTGAGAGGGAGCACTTCAGACTTCTGAGAAACTAAAAGCACAGCCAAGATCAAGGATGGGCAACTTGGATGGTGGTGGGGGCCACAGAATGTATTTACTGTCCACCAGGGGGCCGCAGATTCACTTGGAACACGCACACAAGAATTCCATGTATTGTATGTAATTATTAACAAATTAAGTCTGACATCTTCATTGACATTTTACAATCTCTCAGGGAACATCCTCTAAGAAGCTCACTAAACAAATATCAGTTCACAGAAATGTTATTTAATGTTTACGAGTGGCATGTTTGTATTGAACAGGTTATTAAACAGTGGAATAAAACTATTTTAAACTATTGGAAAGCACGGAAAATGTGTGTGCATTGAGATTAACCATTAAGATGACTTAACCATGAAGTCATGAACACTACCCCAGACATTAGTTGTCTAACTTGAACCTAAGACACTTGTAGCCTCTGCTGACGCACAATAAGGGGAATGTCAACACAGACCCCTGTCAGCCCGCACTCTGCTGTTCCTCAGCGCCGCTCCCCCTCCCGCTGACATTATGAATGAAAGGCGTAGCAATCATAGATAACACGGCAGGGTCCGTGACAGTTGGTTTTCATCTGATTTCAAATAAACAAAGTCTTGGTTTTTAGAATATTAAACTTGTTTCGCCAAATTCAGATGATAAAAACAACCTTTAAGCTTGTAAAGGCATAATTACAAGCGCAGTGTTTCCCCTAGGATGGAGTCATAGCAGCGGTGCTAAGGCACGTGGGCCCAGCATAATGTGAGCGCGGAGCACGTGGAATTTTTTAGTGTGTGCACGTGCGAAGTGCGCCCCGCCAATTTGTACCTATGTGTCTGCCAGCACAAGAAAGGCTCTTGAGGCCTAGTACCAGGGCCGGTTCTAGACAATTTGCTGCCCTACGCGAGATTTTATATATAAAGAATAAATGAAAAATCTCTACAAAAGACGAATACACTAGAAAAACAGAAACTTATTGACATACGTCAAAATGGCTTCAAATGTATTCAGTATTGTATGATTTTTTTGAACATTTTAAAGTAAAATGCTTCAATCTGGTGCACTTTGAGCACACAATTACTAGAGACCTGATCTAGGGGGTGGGGGTACAACTCTAAAAACACCCATATGAAAAAGATCGGTTTACATTTTAATAATCAAATAAGTATGCGAACATAAACAATGACCTTCCATAGCCAATAACAAATAAATGTAACTTTTTTTTGTTTTTTTGTTCATGCATCTCTTATTTTACCTAGTTAACATTTATTTATTTATGCATATTTTTGTATCTCTCCAACTTTAAACGATATTTTTGGTTTACTGTCCTATAGTATACATTGGAATGATTTCAAACCTGTTTTTATTTATCCTAATAATTATAAAGGAGTGCCTTGGAAATATGTGTTTACATAATTTAGTCAAAACGTTTGAGACCCACTGAGATAACTTAGACTAAAAATGTATATCTAAACACTCGGAGAGTCCTTTACCTCACTGAGCCTCTCAGTCTGACAGGAGAGCTCTCCTCCACCCTGGTTGGAGAAACATCTACTTCTTATATCCGTTAGTGCAGCTAGCACCAGATTCTAATAACAACAGCGCCGGTACCGGTGAGCCCTCTCTCTCTCTCCCTCCGTCTCTCGCTCGCACTTTGGCTGTGAGCTGCGGGCGCCTGATAAGCCAACACCCCCCACTTTCATCACTCACTTTTCATTTGCCCATCGTACAGGGCAAATGAAAAGTGCAACCGGGGTGAAAAGGGTGTTACATTTACTTAATTATGAATGTTGTTACATCAAGGCCAAAAATTAGGATGAGCCCCAACGGTCAAAAATGTTTTTCCCCCCCCCCGATCTGGCGCCCCCTAGGCGACTGCCAAAAATCGGCCCTGCCTAGTACATACAGTGGCAATGTCTCAAGATTTAGCAAAAATACACCTTTATTGAACATACAGTAACACAAATACTACAAATCCACATAAACAATCAAAAATGAAAAAGATTGATTATTTTTTAAATGTTTTTTTTAAAGTTAAAGTTTTTGGGTACCTGGCTGGCGCCCCGTAGCAGCGGCGCGCATATTTCAGCAGCGGCGCTGCGCCGCCACGATTTGTATATAGGGGAAACACTGAAGCGGTAACTTAACGTCACAGCAGGCATAACAACAGCCGGTGTTTCTTGTGAGGGTTTCCCCGGGAAACAAACAATACACACAAACGCTTCACAGATTATTTTTGCAGTATTTGGCTGCCGAACGAAATCATGTACGCAGCTCGCGACGTAACTAGGAGTCCGGACCGCCATCCCTGGCCTAGATGAACTAAAGCAAGTCGGGAAAGCTATGTTTGTGTTTTCACTGTTTGCTTTTGGACTCAAAACACAAGGTGGATATAGTCCTCCGCAGCCACAACTGTAAACTAATGAGGCCACTCTTTGGACATTCTCTCGTGCTCTCCTTGCAAAGCAATTTCCCCGAGAGGGTAATACATATTTCACTCATTCACCTAATTCTGTAACACTAAAAACATATAGATAGCTTTCAAACTAAATGGCACAGCCCTATAAAAATCCCTGGCCTAATTTCTAATGTCCCTCTGACTCACCAGTGTTGTTCCGTTAGCATCCTGTGCGTTTAAGTCCGCTCCGTTCTGAACCAGAGCCTGAATGTCAGCCAGCATGGCTTTCTCTTTAGCCCCCCGGCATTCATCTATGCGGTCCTGAGTTATCCCTACACACACACACACACACACACAACGATTCATGTTAGCATACACACATTAACAGCCTGTTTATTATAGAGCGCTAACTGGTTTCCAATGGGAGCGACAAATAAGGAAGATGTGTTATCTTGTTAGAACATTTTTTTCAAGAGAAAGAATCCATTATGCTTTTTATAAATGTTATTGCAAACAGCACCAATGCGTGAGAGTGCAAAAACAGATTTATTTTACTGACCCTGTTCAGCCATGACCATCTCCAGCAGCTCGAGCGTGGCCTCATCCTCACAGAGGTCATAGGGCATGTTGCCATCTGCATTGACAGCCAGCAGGTCAGCCCCACTACACACACACACACACACACACACACACACACACACACACACACACACACACACACACACACACACACACACACACACACACACACACACACACACACACACACACACACACACACACACACACACACACACACACACACACACACACACACACACACACACACACACACACACACACACACCACACACACACACACACACACACACACACACACACACACACACACACACACACACACACACACACACACACACACACACACACACACACACACACACACACACACACACACACACACACACACACACACACACACACACACACACACACACGATTAGTGCCACACTGTGACACACCCAGATGTACTCACGAACATTCCTACACATGCAAAGTGTTTTGAAAGGCAAAGTGCAGCCATGATGCATCGTTTATGTAGATCAGTCCCTCGCAAAGAATTCCGTTTATATTCTGGACTAGAAATTGTATAATTAAAGCAGAATTTATCCTAATATAGTTGTTGGAAAACTCAATAATATATCAGTTTGGGGACATTACGTTTTGAAAACCTTTCCATTTAAATATGCAAATGAGGCATTTCCCTTTTAAATGTGTGCTTATTTGCTTAGATCTTTGTTCACTGCGCTGACAGCAGGACAATCGTTTTGAATGGTCCAAAAGAAGCTGAAATATGGGGTTGATATTGATGGGGGAACTCACGCCTGGATGAGCAGCTGCACCAGGCCGGTGTGTCCACAGGTGGCAGCAGCGTGCAGCGGCGTCCACAGCTCACTGTCACACGCATTCACACAGCCACCAGCGTCCAGCAGGCACTGCACGATCTCCACAAAGTCATCGATGCAGCACTGAGGGAAAATACATCCGAATACACAGACGGCAAAGTGTTAGAGAAAGGGATATCTATGCATTATTATTTATGAGAACTAATACACTTGCTTGAGTCAAATGTGCATGCGTGGCCCAGCCCTCTGCTCTGTAAACACTGACGCTTTCCAAGGGGAAGAGCAGAGGCGACTGCTTTTATAAAGAGTTCTCTGTGCGCACAAATACCACCCTCGTGAATTTATGGCAGAATGTGTTTAGAGCAAAACAAGAAGGGAGAGAAGGTTTCTTAGAGATTTTAAAGTATGTGTTTCAAGGTCCTGACAAACTAAACACAGGACGCTAATGATGGTTACTTCTCAATCTGACTGCTATGTTCAGGAAAGGAATGTAAGCCTTCAAAAACAGAGGATTACACTAAAATGGTGGAAATGAATAAGAGTGTGTTTTTGTAAACTGACTGAGGATAGGTTATGGTTCAGACGAAACAACGGCAAACTCAGACCAGAGCTGTGACTGCATGAGACGCACACACACCAGAGTTCCCGTTAGAATATTTTTTCGCCGGTCAACATGTCCGTTAAAGTTGAAATCTTCCGGACAAAATGAGAATGAGAATGCCTGTCAAAGGTCTTTGTTATTTATTGAGCTTTAAAACAAATTGATATGATTCGATATTAAACAAACTAATCATAGCAGATTAACTACATTATTCAAAAGTGTACTTATAATAACACGGGAATAATAAACGGAGCGCTCTCCCTCTCCTGTCAGCCCGTCAGTATCATGCAGCTCGCGGATCAGTAATGAGTGACCCGACAGTAAAACTAAACGTATCTATAACTAGTTCAGGTAGTTTGAGAGGTCATTAAAATAGCTACGTGTGATATTCTAACCTGAAGTGTGTGTTTTGTCCGCTCACTGCTGCATGTGATCATGCAGAGCTGCGTGTCGACTCGTCAGCAGCAGCTGATCTCTCTCTCCCGTCAGATTAGACTCGCGTTTATGTCCATATCGATCAGATCCAGCTAGTTCTAGCTAATGATAGGACTACCTGCTTATTAAAAGACACCTAAACAATAAGTGTCGCTATGCAACCGGGTGAGGCCACAAAGTATAGCGCAGCATTATGCATTTGTTTACATGCCCACCGGAACCTCGAGGCATTACCAACAGATCAACGCACAATCAACCCATCCAGGACATCTCTTTCTCCACATTCAGTGTTAGACATTAGAATTGACTATTCTTGTCTATCACATAAATGGCGCAAGTTGCGCAACTGATGTGGTATTGCGCTAAAAGGAAATTATTTTGAACGGACACTTTGACCGGAGAGATTTAGATTTGCCGGTCTTCAGCATATTTTACCGGTCATAGTCCGGTAATTACCGGCTAACGGGAACTCTGACACACACACAGCTCAACAATGTGACCTGCCTCGTTAAGTGAAGTCATAAGGTGTAAAAGTAGGTAACATCACCGAGAACAAATCATCGCTAATTTGAGCTCCACAGGTTTTAATGTACCAGTGTAAAGAATCTCCTCACTATCACTATAACACAACGGATAGCAATAACCCAACTGAAGACCATAAACCAATCCTAAGAAAGGGTAAAAATCAAGAATAATATGCAAGATAGTCTTTGGAGTTTGTGCTAGTTTAAGCACCTTGGTCATAGATGGCTGATGCTACGCTATGACAGAGCAGTCTGTGTTTGAGGGGCGGGACGATGGTGGAATTGGTCGTGTTTGCAGGCGGGAGGCCAGTGAGGGATCATGTCCTCCCTGCACAGGTGACACAACTAGGTGTAAACGTGTGTGTGTACCTGATGTAGGGCCGTCAGTCCATCCTCGTTGACCAGATCAGGGCTGACGCCGTTGTTTAGCAGCTCCCTCACGAAAACACACACACACACACACACACACACACACACACACACACACACACACACACACACACACACACACACACACACACACACACACACACACACACACACACACACACACACACACACACACACACACACACACACACACACACACACACACACACACACACACACACACACACACACACACACACACACACACACACACACACACACACACACACACACACACACACAGACACACACACACACACACACACACACACACACACACACACACACACACACACACACACACACACACACACACACACACACACACACACACACACACACACACACACACACACACACACACACAGATAATTGCTTTATGTCTCAGAAAAGATAGTACCAAATACTTTTAGCTTTCTAGGGTCATAGGACATGTATTGGCATCTTCTGAGTGTTCTTGACTTTCCTCACATATTCAAGCTTTACTTTTAGTTCATGTATTGTGTTGTTTAAGCTTCTAGCATCTATTTCTCTCTGAGTGTGTGTTGGTACCGACCCTCCTCCACGTCGTTGCGTGCAGCAGCATCCAGCAGCGTGATGGACTGGGGGAATGTGACTTTTATCGTGCGCGCCTTCTTCTTATCCGCTTTGGCTCTCGACCCTCGCGTTGAGTCCTTCTCCATCTGCGCCCATCCCTTCAGCTGCTGAACGCGACGCTTCTGGGCGTGTTTCAGGCGCTCGGTGGCTCCCAGACGCCCGACTGTGGCCATCTCACTCAGCAGCTCCCCGTGCTCTGCTGCCATGCCACACCACCACAAGCTGTCCCGGTGTCTTCTCCTCTTAGGTTCTCTTAGTCCAAAAGGATGTCAAACATAAACGTTTCTTAAATGTCTTCTTTACCTACGTCTTGCCCCTTAAGGAGGCCCTTCTGTAAGGCCAACCAGGCCTACGTTAGGGCCAGTGGGAGACAGAAACCGCAGCTTATCTGTAAAAAATAAGGAGCAAATTTCACAAATATCCAGAGTGATGAAACGACTTGTGTTGTGCAATCAGGTGGAAGATATCTCCCTGATTTCAGAAGGAAGCAACATGTTGTGGTAATGTCTCTTCCTCATCTTTCACATAACTCTTATCGTGCCTTGGGAAATCAAAGAGAGAAACATCCAGGATTTGGGCTGTAAGGAACCGTCAGTCCTCCCGTCCATAGCAACTGTGGGGAACTTGGCCACTGAAGGGAAGAGATGGAGAGATGTTGCTAGAAAGGAATAGATGCCTTATTTGAGCTTTTAATCCAAAGTGAGGGTGACTGTGTCCAAGATATTGATCCAAGTGTTTGAGAATCCATAGTGAGAATATGACGAACAACAAATCCACAAAACCGGAAGTACTGAGGAGCTTAAGCTATGATTCAAGTCCAACTTTAGCTAATGCTGTGGCAGTATCCCGTGTGGGTGAGTGGAGACTTTTCCAACTTGTTGTTGTGTACGTTTTCTCTTCAGGGATTCAGGCGAGGTTTCAATGATTCGTCCCTCAACGTCATTGTCTGCCTGTAGAGCGGGAGAGAGGAGAAAAATGTATTGTGAGTGCTGCGTTACAGTATAATGTTTGCACACTGCTCTCCTCATCCTGTTATCTTTAACCCCTGAGCTCCTTCCAGCGACTCCCTCCTCTCCCGGAGGAAACCTGAGACGGTGGGACGCTTTTCATTAATGATTGACACATCCTGCAGCCCGATACACACGACGCCGCCATTAGCATAAATGCGGAGTAAAAACCGAGAGAGGAACGTGGTCGAGAAGCAGGTAAATAGATCAGATGTGAGCGTGGAGTTATAACTCAGGTGACCGCACTCATTACTTTTCTTTAACGTCCCAGATGAGTTACACGACTCACACACACACTCACACACACACACACACACACACATTAATGCTCTTTCCAGGCTATTCATTCATAATTTAGGCCTGGCCTGTGAGCGCTGAGAGGAAGGTCAACTAGACTGACAAGACACCAGTCCTGGGCCACGGAGACACGCCAACACGCAGCCACAGGAAACGCACCAAGAGGCATTTATAATAACCAGGTTCAAGTTAAACTAACTAGTTGATTTAATACATCACATGTCACTTGTTAGACGCTTTTATCCAAAGTGACTTTCATACTCAATCCTGTGGGCAATCCCCACAGGAGCAGTTTGGGGTGAAGTGTCTCAGGGACACAACGACATGCTGACTGCAGTGGGGTTTGAACCTGTGATCTACGGACAACCCACTGCGCCACACGCCTCCAATTGATATCCAAATGAGGTGAAAGAAGTGCTGTCAATTGGTATTAAAAAATGGATGTATAATTGTGTTGATCGCCATAACGCTATATACTGTATAAATAATTGTATTTTGGGGGAAAAAAAAGACATTTGGTGTTTTAATAAAGAAATGCACGAGAAACTGGTAAGAGACATCTAGAGGGTTTTAAGTTGGATTACAACAACTCAGATTTCTGAATTAATGGCATGAATTGTGACAATGAGCTAAAGCATCACAAGGAAATACGTAAGATAACTCAAGTGTACTGCTCGGAAAATAAACACCAGGTCACAGTCATTCTCACAACCTAGAAAGAAACTGGATTATAATTGATATACAACGCAATTATTAAAAAGCAGTACTATAATATATGACTATACTATTAGGGAAGGACAAACATGTAGTCCCTGCAGCATCACTAGCACAAAGTCTGAATTATAGAGGGTTGAATCTGGACGTATATAAGGTGTTTATATATATTTAGAGAGAGACCTACCAGTCACTGTTTCCGTTGAGACAACTTCCTAGCCACTCAAATAGTTCCTGTTTAAAGGCGGACAGACGTTTGTCATTTGTTCCTTTGCTCTGCCGTTCTTCTATTCTTAGGACATCTCACCTCTCACCCTTTGTCACGAGATACAATACAAGGATTTCCTTAGATTGAGGTAATAAGCTTAACTCTCCCCATAGACTGCTGAACACGGCACACATAATTCATTCAGACACGAACACGTTACGCACGGGATCAAACATCATGAATGATGAATGTTAGGCTTGTTTATAATGCCAATTATCCACTTCTTTCTTCCTTTAACCCGTCCTCCTCCTAAAGGGAAAAGTCCATGTTGTGTTAAAAGGTCAACAGGAAACTAACAAACCCTTTGTAGCATTTTTCGAGCTTTAAGAGCGAGACGAAGGTAACTTCACGTCACTATGGACTGACGGCTTCAGGCCGGGTAATATTGCACTTTATTAGCGTGATTGCACCGTACAGTTGACATTACATATCATTTATACTAATTATTGAGGTAGTATTTTTTTTAACTGATTAAACCGTATTTATTGGAATGTGGTCTGGCAGGTGCCGGTCGGGTCCTCGGCTCCGCCTGGAAAGATAGGGGAGTTAGCGAGAGCGCCGAGAGGAGTTACGCTGGTGTGACAGCGGTTGAGAGTAATCAGGGTGATGTGGTTGATGTGTGCACCTGGTGTCCCGTGTTGTCTCCCCCCCCCTCACCTGTGTCTTGTTAGTATGTGTGTATTTAGGTGCCGTTTCCTTGTAACTGGGTGTGTGTGAGATCCTTGTGGCTGCAGGATGTGTGCAAGGGGAACAGCAGGATTGAGGCTGTGAACTTTGTGCACATGAGTTTAATAAATGCCCACGTCGGTTTATATTTGTGGACGTTCTGCCTCTGCCTCCTTGCTTGGTCGGGCTGCTCAACGGTCAGTCTCACAAAGAGGAGAAAGGATGAGAGGAAAAGGGAAAATCTCTGCAGGATTGTAACTGCTGTGTTAGCGGGATAATACCATACAGCGGTGACCATCAACAGGCGGCCCGCGGCGGTGTGCGTTGGAGCTACAAACTTGTTCCGAAATAAGGTCCCATGAGTCCCACTGGAAGGGGAGGGACTTCGCCTCTCTATTAGCGTGAAGAGTCTGCTTTATGCGCTCCGCAGTAGCCCCCGCTGCGAGGCTCCGGCGACTTGACAGTACATGAGCGTGCTCCACTAGCACCCCCCCCCCCACCCCCCCGGTCAACAACTTCAAAATGCAGGGCTATATATAGAAATCGCTGGCCCCCGAAAGTGTGTCTAGGAATAATTTTGGCCCTTGGACAAATGTAGTTGGTGATCCCTCTCCATACACAATCTAACAGATCAGTGGAATATAGATCCCATGTTGGTGTTGTGTGGCTCACAAAAGAAACTACAGAATACATTCTCATACGGCAGGATTTGACTCATATTTCAGATGACTCGTGTAAAGGAGTGGTGAAAAAACGACACACATCCACTTAATTCACCTGTTGCTCGCGTTAGGCTTTTAGTTTGATGGCCTTACACCGACCTGCTTCGCCTCATTTGGATTTGTACTGTAAGAAGTGATGAAAGTTTGCTTTCTTCATCCAAAATAATGTCACTGTGTTAAAAGTAGCTTTGAGACATTGTGAGTCCAATTGTCTCCATGTTGTATTTATGTAGTGCCAACCACGGCTCCTGTGAACATAACAATTAAACCGGTTTACAGTGCTTCCACCCTGACCCCGAGCACAGTGACTCACCTGACTCAAGGCCACTTAGTGCTGCACGGACACACAGAAACCCTCTAACATCTGGGAAGGGATTCTTTAGGAGGTTAATCACAATGCTACTACTTTGTGTAATGTCAGAACAGAGATATTTAAGTGTTCCTAAATAGAGTTATAAAGACACGTTTAACCCTTAGAGTGAGAAGTTGTTTACATACAACTTCCACTTTCTGGCCCATGTTGAAACTAAAGCATCAGGATATTCTAAAAGACAGCAAAATCCCAAAAAAGGTATTTTCGATCCGTCAATGGACCTAGCTTTGCTCCAAATATAAATAAACAATCTAAATCTCACCCACACTCAAGCGTCTGCGTTTAGATGTGTCTGTCATTAGAATACACCTAGGCATTGGGATATGTATTTTTAAATCCTCTGGAGCAGAGAGGAGCCGTGGATTATTGTTATTGATGAATGCATCTGTTTCTCAGGGTCAGTAACACTAAACTCACAACTTCAAATGAAAGCGTTTAGTTTATTTAATAAAAGAGCACATGCTCAATGTGAACAGTGACAGTAGATATAGATTAGTTGCAATTTGGTGTAATATATATCAGTGATTCCCACAGCATGTTTATACTTTGGGGGGCCCCCAAAGTATAATGGCTCCCCCCAAAGTATAATGGCTCCCCCCAAAGTATAATGGCTCCCCCCAAAGTATAATGGCTCCCCCCAAAGTATCATTTGTGTGTTTTTTGTTTTTTTGACTCAGTGAGCACTCATTTGCATTTGCATTGGTGGCAATGAGTGCTCAGTGAGTCAAAACAACTTAAAAAACCATAAATTATACTTTGGGGGGAGCCATTATACTTTTTTTGACAAGCCGCGACGGATCCACTGCTCAAACAGGCTGTGCCGTCTGTGCAACCATTATTCACCAGTTTGTATATAGTTAAAATAAAGTTATCCGGTGATTGACGATCAGATACCAGTGTGGAGTTTTCTGTCTTCAATTTGATATAGATCATGTTCTTTGTTGGTTTGTGAGGATGTTCATACACACTTGGTAAGATGTGTGTGTGAAAGAAGACCAGTGACTGCTCTCAGCTGTTTAACACTTAAAGACCGAGACACCATCACCAGTGGTAGGTTGTCTGAAGTGCAGTGTTACTATGAAAATTCACTAGAATGCAGGAATTGAGAAAAAAAATCTCAACATTTTTCACGGGGGGGGGGTCGAGAACGCCCCGAGTCGTTCCCCCAAAGTATATTTCATTTCTGCTGGAATCACTGTATATATATATTCATTATTTGTTGTAAACGCGCCCCTCCGAGACGATGGTAGGGGAAGCACTGGGCTGATCATCTGTCTTGGCAGAGCGAGCCAGACAACACAAATCTCGGCCAAAGCCAATCAGTGCAGGCATCGAGGGAATGAAGCCGCGGCTCAGACAGTACGATGTGCGTGGCTCGAAGAACACAGAAACCATCTGTCACGTCCATCATGAAGAATCATATTGCTCCTTTACAAACCTGGAATAAGACGCACTCTCTTTGCTTTCCACACAAGTTTGGATGTGACAAAAAGCTATGTTTTACACCAAGAGAGCAACAGTAGCTGCACAATCATTATTAACAACCTCGCTGACCTCCCACATGTATGTACAAATACATAATGAGAACAAATGGTTACTTCAAGTGAAAAAAGACATGATTATCCTGCCCAAAACAGCTCTCCAAAGTATCCCAAGAAATCATCCAATTATGCTTTAAATGGCATCATTTTGTTACTTTCCACTCTGACACTGATGTGGCATAAAAGCTCATTCTACACCAACAACTTTATCATTAACAAACCAACTGACATAATGCATACATTTACATGCCCATACTTAACTATAACACATGGTAACTTTGAGTGAAACTGATTAAATCAACTCAAGACGATAAATGCAGCCATTTCTTCTCAATATTTCTCTAATGTTGTGATCTTACCTCATCTCTCTGTGCACACTCCTAAAGGTCTGCACACTCACAGGTCGGCTGAGACACTGGAGGCTAAGCTAGCATTTCACGAGCTTCCGTTGATTTAGTCCCGTATAAAATAAGCTCCAGCTCAAATGCAGAATGGGGAATTTGTTGGTGGCTAAACTGTGTAAGAGCCTTGTGATCCTGAGTCAGGGCGAGGCCAGACGGACGGGGAAAGACCAGGTGAGATCACTCGTAGTGTACAAAACTAAACAGTTTGTGTTTTTGAAAAATATCCCTACATCAATTTGACAGTTGTCGGATTTTTCCACCTAATGACCGAACAGGAAAGGCTGAGAGGAACACAACCTTCATTCAACAGCTGCAATGAATAGACCAGTATGAACACACACGCACATACATTCATCAGGTGGGTGGTACCTCAGTGTAAAAGCTTGTGACTGAACTTAGTAGTACGGATACCGAGCTAAAACTCTGCTCAGAATTCAATCTGGATACAAAGGAATGACATTGCTCAGCTGTTGACTGAAACACACAAAGCTGAGTCGATGCAGCGCGATCATTCGGGAAGCATCCCGCGACCTACACTCTGAACCAATCCTGAACCAATGCCAAGTCAACATGCCTGCGTCATATTCAGAGGGGTTTATCTGCTGCTGTGCTAATATGATCCTGGTCTAAATCATTCCCAAAAGTCTTTCTCCGATCATCATGAATGACGCTTAAAACACTTCAAAGTAGCTGGAATCACTTTGACTGATTTCTGAAAAATGTCTAAATGTCTGCATCAAAAGAAAGGACACATTTCTTTAGAGAAACATCATAAAAAGTTCATCACACGGTCCCCCTGCATCGTGTTTCCTACCGGGTCATTCCTGTACTTTGCTACCACAATAGCAAGCTTGCAGCATTTCCAGAAAACTACAATCAACGAGTGTTTATAAAAGAATCCTTTATGGCTTTAAACGGTCAGAATTGGGGATTTCAGCTCTGGAGATCATGTTAGTAAGATACAGGCACTACGTTTTGGTTTTAAGTGCATGAATTGGTAAATGCGATAGAACTATATGAATATTACACACAATCAAATGACGGTTGCCATAAAAAGGGAAACTACTCTTTCATTTTCCTATTCCCTCTGATGGGTCAAAGCATTTGAAGAATCCACCTCGGTCTGTGGGCGATGGGCGTCTCTTAACTATAATGAACATTTAACAGAAACCGTTAAACGAAACTAAACAGTTAAACTAAGGAATCTGCCCTTGAGTTGCAGCCCTCGGGGAAAGACTGCGGGTCAATGAGTGCCACACTAAATGGGGAGGGGGTTGCACTTGAGGAGAAGTGTGCACACGTTAAGTCCTGTCATGTGCAATGGGTTGCTCCATATAATCACATATAATGCCACAGAGGAAGGAGAGAGTTTTATGGAGGTATAGAGGAGAAATGTAGACAAAGAGTTGCTGCTTTTTCTGGAGAACAGGATATAGAATGAGAGGGCTGGAGGAGGAGGAGGAGGAGGAGGAGGAGGAGGAGGAGGAGGAGGAGGAGGAGGAAGGAGGTGCAGATTCAAACACACACACGTGGTGCTAAAGAATTGCCTCAGTACGAAAATGCTGAGAAAAATGAGAATGTAAAATAATGTACGAGAGAATAGAAATGCAACAGAGTTTGACCTTTAAATAACTGCAGGGGTCATTCAACTTGTCTTGAAGAAAATAACTATATTAGGACGAGACCACTTCTAATGCTTAACTAGTGACACACCGGGCGCTACAGTATCTTGTAAAGTGCTTTTTGAAGTTGAGATAACCTAGTGTTCCAGTACTGGAGGATGCACAGCGCACTCTGTACTCAAGATCAAAGAGGTTAAAGTCCACTGTAGTAAAAGTAAGAAAGAATCTTTTCTACATCTCTGTGTGTGTGTGTGTGTGTGTGTGTGTGTGTGTGTGTGTGTGTGTGTGTGTGTGTGTGTGTGTGTGTGTGTGTGTGTGTGTGTGTGTGTGTGTGTGTGGTGTGTGTGTGTGTGTGTGTGTGTGTCAGTCAAGGGGCCTAGCTGCTAATCCTGCCCTATATTGTGAAATATTGGACCATACATTACATTCCAAGGACATGCTATTGAAGAAGTACTTTGACCACACGTCTGAATACTTGTGAGTTAGGTTAGACAAAGAATACATGACTGTTTTTAGGGTAATAAGTCAGTGATGTTGTGTTTAAGTTAAATGGTCAGTGAACTATAGAAGATCCTGCATAAAGTTATCATTAATCTGCATTTTCGTTGGAATAAATCCATTATGTCACTCAACATTGAGTTTACTGTCATACATGGCACAGAAAAGCAGTACACCCGACTCATGGGACTCAAAATCATAAAACTCACCATCAAACACTTTTTTATTTTAATGATCTCCGGTAGTGTTCACTTTCTTGCAACCAACATGTGTGTGTAGTATAAAAAACTAATTTGGTGCAACAGATCCTGCTAAATATAGCTTAAGAGCTAAACAACTTCAATTGTTAAGATATTTGGACCGTAGATTTAACCAAGGAGGATAATTATGATGTCCTTCTAACTGTTATCTACAATTAAAGGGAAATCCTGATGAGTTGATATGAAATTCCCCTAAAGTATATAACATCCCCCCCCCATTAATTTTGTATATAAATCACTATAACAGCAGGACTGCAGCCCTGCATGACATAGGAGCCATTTGACTGAACTATGAGCTGCAGCTTGTGCTATAACAGTCAACATGCCAGCCCATGCACCTGATAGTATAGACTTTGCACTTACCGCCCTGTCATAAAGCTGTGATATAATATAGGCTAATATGAATCAGAAAACTACCATATAAGTATTCATTTATACTCACTTTCATTGGCTATAAAAAGGCTTTGAAAGCAACAACACCAGTGTGTACTTGTTGTCACTGTGCAGGATTAACGGTGGCTGCAGATTAGCTCATTTCCCTTCATGTCCGGGCTCAACAGGTGGCGAATTCGACAGGTAACAAGCGGTTAATGAATAAAGCTACCTGGTTCATTTATCGACTCCAGCGCGGATACAAGTAAACACAGGAGGGTGTATCCTAACGTAGTGACTTTATATGACTAAACATGGTGAAAACACTGTTAAAGCAGCATTAAAGTCGGCTAGCTCTGATGTCATGCTAACATCACTTTAGCCTCAGGTTAGCTCACCTTTCCGAAACACGACGCACACAAGGTGCATTACAAGGTGCGTCAAATAAAGAAAACGACTAACTTTGGCGAACACAAGTTAAAGTGAGAACAGTGGAGAGGTATATCGATGGGACATTATATTACATAAAGTGGATCCTACCTGTTGGCTGGGAGTGGTGTCTCCTGTGAAACTGACTCAGCTGCTGCTCCAGCCCTCAGGGGGAATGCTTCACCATAACAACCGGACCTGCGCGCTCTCCTCCCGGGTATCCCTCCGCCGGGGGGCGCCACAGCCTGGAGGACTTTATTCTCATGTATTAAACACACACACATCAGAGAATTTGTGGAGAGATTGGAATACAATTAAATTAAAAGGTATTTATATAAAATTACAAGTGCTATAAGTAAGAGAATAGGCCTATATAAATACAATATAAAAACATAAACATCATTATAAAAGATCGGATTTGTATTCATTTACATTAGTAATAATTGGGCAATAATCTTTACTTTTGCATCGACCCTGCAATTACGTATGTATTCATTTATTTATAACTGTACTGTACAGTCCAACCAATATATTTATACTATTTGAACATTTGAACACATTTAATCATGAATCTTGATTTACATTATTATTATTTCTACACGTTTGTTATACAGTACACATCATTTTGTAAACTTTATTTTTCAATTTCCATTGCTTTTATATATTGTAGTATAATGCATATACTTAAAATGCTTTTTTTTTTAATGTCGATGTATATATATATATCTTTTAAAATTGGGGCAACATTAACTTTACACAATTTTCCTGCAGATATCCATAACAATTTTTAAATAATGTCTTAATCAGGCACAGATAAGAACAACAAGTCAACGAAATGGAGCAAAGACTTAAGAAATAAGGGGTACAAATTAAATTGAATTCACGTAACATATCTCTGATTAATCTTAAGGAAAATGCTATATAAAATTGTGAAAATGGTGTGACAACACTGACCTTTATCCTAATTCTTACAGGTAAGTGCACAGTGCAAACGCCCCTCGCCTTCTTTATTAAGCAGAATATAAAGGGGTGTGTTTGTGAGCATAAGTATAGGTTATACAGCTAATAGTGTGCTTATGCTTTGTAAAACATGAATGCACTTCCCCTATTTCACAACAAACTAGGGTGTGTTTGCCCTCTGGACAACACAAGCCTGAACACATGATCCTTTAACAAACCATAATTAAATATCAATTGAACAAAGCCACCAACCTTAAAGTTGTCTGGCTGGTTTTCTATATAAAAAGGAACCGGCTGATAATACTAACAGAAACCCAGTGGTGATCTGCTGACCCCTGCAGTGAACTGATCACCATCGCAGCAGTGACTCCGCAGAGACGCAATAAAGAAACAGATTGGGAACATGAGCTACTGTAAATCCTCTGTTGTGACAACAGCAAAAAGTCAAACATGGACATTTTTTGACCAACTTGTGCATTATTGTGTTGGTTTTAAGTGCTCAGATTTTAAGACATCCCTCTTCAAGACGTCTGCATTCCCTGCAAGAGGATATAATGATACAGCATTCAAAAGTGACATAAGATTGATTGATTGATTGATTGATTGATTGAAAAGTTTATTAACAGCTTGTATATTGGGTACAGTACAGTACAGCTCAAAACATACAATTGTTAAGGGGATGCAGACCAGAGAAAGACTTTCGTCTTGTTTACATCAGGGTCCCCCATTTCCAATTCATCATATCATTTAAGACATATAAGACATATTTGACATACTATAAGACATATTTGACATACGTAGAGCTATACAAATATAAGCTTTCAACAAAAACTGTGTCAAGGGTCATCTCCAGAATTTGATTTATTAGAACTTGTTTTTTCTAAAGAAATAGTCCCTTGGAGAAATGTTGATTTTGTTCTGTGGTTTATCCAGATACAATACAAACACTATGAACAACACATCTTGTTAACGCTTAATTTTAGTGTTGGTTCTTTAGTCAAAAAGTGAAGTTAGAGCATTGTTTTGACCATGTATGATATTGCTGTTTAATTTGTAAAATAATGCCACTTTTCCACACTCTTAAGTACATCCAATACACTTTGGTTGCAGAAAAAGATTTGGAGATGTACAGTGAATCTCAAAAGAAGCATTCTTCAACACTAAGACAGCAGAGGTTAACAGTAATTAAACACAAGGAAGAAGTGTTTTTTTTCTGTCAATTCTTCTTTAAAAAAATGAACTCTGATGTAGGTTTTTAATAAGTATTTTAATGTATATTATTTCCCTTAAACCTGCACAACACTGATGGCCGATCTGCTACTCAACAGCTTTAATCTTGTGCAGTGTATGTTTGTTGTTTGTTGTCAAATGAGTTAGATACTAAAGTCTACTCTTGCAGTAATGAAGCAGTGACAGCACAATGCAAACTTCCTCTCACTTTCTGTGTCCGTCACAAAGGGCTAAAGTCTCGTCTCGGTTTCAGGATGAGTCCCAGGGCAGCTTAGGAGGGATTTGTCTGGACACAATCAGCCCATGTGAACAGCCCTGTGCTGCATGCTCTCCTATTCATATGCTTTTCCATTCTTCTCATGCGGGGCTCACTAATCCGGGCAAAACCTATTAACTGGCCCTCCGGTAGACAAGAAGACAGATAAACAGGTGGTATTTAAATGACTGCGTTTTGCACGAGCACTTGTTTATAAAAGGACAAGTGTGTGAGGGGTTTGTCCGTATGTTTACTTCATCTGATCTCAAAAAAGAAACTGCATTGATATGAAACTCAAATGTAAGGCTCTGGAAGTCAGTGATACTTAAAGTTGGGATAGGTTTTCAGATCAATCCCTTAATAGTTTTGAATCCAAAAATGCTTCATGTTTCATTCTAACAATTTATTTCAAATCCTGAATTGCTCATCTAAGAATTCCAATTTCTCTTGATTTGTCTTTCATATTTAGTTTAGGTACAGAGTTTCGGGCATGCCAATACATTAATGTACATTGTGCTTTTCATGGTTATTTGATCTGCGTTAAGATGGTGAAAATCAGTTTGATAAATGTCCTAATTCTTACTAATATTTCACTTGTGTGAACTAAGAATTTTGAGTGTGATAAAATAAAATAAACTATATTAAAATGTTTTGAGTGATCCCTGTGCTGGTATCCTGCTTTTCTGTTTTGTTGTGTTTCTTTCTTTGTGGCTTTGTCTTGTTTGTCTACCCTCCCTCCCAAATGTAAAGCGTCTTTGGGTTCAAGAAAAGCGCGATAGAAATACAATAAAATAATTATTATATTCTTCTTCTTGTATGGGACACATTTTGGGTGAAACCACTAGAGGGAGACACACTTTCTGAGCATGCAGAGTGTGTGTCAGCCAGAGAAGAAAATCACTGATGCAAACTGCAGCAGGTGAAGGAGGTTTGCTGGGAAGCAATCTGACCTGCAAAAATCAAGCTCAACAAGGTGAGTTTGTCTCTCAGGGGGATTCATTGCTCCAATTGAGGCTTCTGCGCAGGACAACTTCAATGATATCAGCTTCTTACTTTATGCAATAACCCAATAAAGAGTTTTAATCTAAAAGTTAAATTATGGAGAGGCTAGATGTCACTTTGTGTAAAAGGTAAACGCCCAGTAGCATTTTAAATTCAGGATGATTTAGCATTTTACATGCAGGCTTCACTTCATGTCAAAATGTGGGTTCATCGTCACTTAATTATGGATTTGGCAGCACAGCTTTTCTTGTTTGATATCAGCTTAAACTGACAACTCTAGTTCCTCTGTCTTTCTGACAAATCTTGGTGGCAAAATCACTTTCTTCAAGAGAGCTTTCACTATCTTATCACATTGTAATATATCCGCAATTTAAATTGACAACATGAATACAAATCAAACTAAATTACAAGATGTACAAAAGCAATGTTTGTTGTTGATTCTTGCATTGGGTTTTTGTTTGAGAGACATCTTGAGCTCAGGAGAACTTGATGGCTCCATGTTTGAGGTGTGAATGTCCTGCCCAACAACGACACTTAGCAGCTTGTAATCTCCAGAAAACCCACAAATGGTGTTGAATGGCCCCCGTAATTCCTCACATGCTAAGCAGCTTCTCGGGGAAGGAACCGTCTTCAGCCTGCCGGTGGGGGTTCTTTCTAATCCAACTTGTTTTCACTGTCTTGCTGGGAAGAAAGCGTCTGCACATTAGCACTACGTTAATATGAACAAAAGACATGCATTCCCGAAACTTAGTCTTTCAACGCTGAATGACGTCTTGCATAGTCACAAGAAGACCCTACTGTGCGTAAAACACCCCCAAATGTTGCACACTCTCACCAAAATGTCTCCAAATTATATATTCTGAGTCAGTTACAAATTGGAACATTTTCTTCCGAAATGTGATAGCTTGTTGAGGAGTTTACATGTGCATTTCGCTTGGAATAAGGCTCAAACTCCTTTCACTCTTTCCCTCACAATATCATTGACTCAAGTATTTCAGAGACTAGTTATTGGCTGTGCCCTTTTTAAAATGGATGATTCTCAATCATGTAAATCACATAATCTTAATGTTTTAGCGTTTGTATATTAGCCATTCGTTATGTATATTGCTCACCAAAAATTGTTGATTGCATGTAAGCTTCAATCGAAATTACGCCTCTTTCTTGTACCCCACCCCCCACACGCTTTAGCTTTCGCCTCTGAGCACAAGTGTCCTGACTCTCGAGAAGTATTTTTAATACAGCCATTATATGTAGATGACATGTTCTGCAGATTTAATTGAGATATTCAAATAATGATACTGCTTTATTTTTTATTGTATTGCTATCTATCTATATACATACTGTTTACAGTGTTCTTGATATAGTTCGCTATCTGTGTACTTTTTTTTAGATTTTGTTTGATATTTTTTGTATTACCTAGCTGGTAATAAACTCGTTTCTGATTCCCTTATCTTTGGAATTGTTAAAGTCAATGTAATCGTTTGTTTTAAGTTGCCTCCTCCAAATACGCACTTAATACTTTTAGGCCTTGGCGCGTAAATCTCCTGATTCCAAAGCAAACTGAATCCCTGGGTTGTAAGTGGCATGTTGATATTATCATAAGGGTTATTTACAGGTTTACTGTCTTTCTGTCGCCCCTCCTCGTACACAGACCCTCCCCAGCCCCCCGGCGCGATCACTCATTCTGCTCTCAGATAACGCGTCATTCTCCTCTCGATTACGCAGCGGGATTTACATGAAACTGTTAATTGTTTGCTCTTCAAATAGTCATCCTGGAGCCGGCAGTCTGCCAGAAGTTAAGGACCGACTCTTTGACCTCCCTCCCCCCCTCTCCGAGCTCCTGTCCAAACGTGCGGGCCGGTCTTCACCCCCCGGCTGGGCATCAGCATGACAAAGCACTGGCCGGAGCCGACAATCTCGGCACCAGCCGCCCTGTCCCACTGTGGAGAGCATCACGACCATCACCTTGACTTCCACAGAGATGCGCAGCACAGTTGTCCTCCTCACAGCGGAGTAGCGCGGAGCTCTGCAGCCCAGCATTGGCCTCACCACCTGGCTCACATGGTTCCTCAGCAGCGCCTGGAGAAACCCACTGCGCGTCCTGAACACATCACCAGTACCACAGCATTCATGGATAAACCCGCACCACCGGGGTCTGATTACCCGAATCAACAAGATGCCAACTTTAAACAGGAGACTATTTCCCAGGAGACGTGGAATGGTAACCGGGAGAAGAGTAGCACCAGCGGGGTGAAGAAGAAGAACTATCAGCGGTATCCAAAACCTCCGTACTCCTACCTCGCTATGATTGCTATGGTCATCCAAAGGTCGCCGGAGAGGAAGCTTACGTTATCTGAGGTAAGATTATACTTAGTTTAATTAAGTAAATGCTTGAATCCCGTTCGCTATGTTTGAGCTATTTTGGTAAAGAATGGCACTTGGTGAGTTTTTTACGCACAGTGCTACTCATGATGTTACTTTAAACCAGCAGTATATATCACAGGAATGACTCTGTATAGTGAAATTCTAGCAGGAGACTAACTATAATCAGAGAATTACTTTTACTTTCTACTAAATATATCAATAACATAAACTGATAATGGGTTTCTAGAGTGACACTAAACAGCAGCCTGTTGGTGACACTTGAGTGACCGGCACCCTGACCATTCCTGATTTGATTTGATAAGGCGGGACTGCAGTGAAACCAGACACTGATCTGTATCAGAAAAGTGATAACATGGTGATATCACTTGCATTGTAAAGCCACATTTCTGTTGTTAAACTAACAAAGTTTTGCCAATACAATTTTCATTATTATATTGATTTCTACCTCCCTGGCTTATTTTTGTATTAATTAACAGCTTTAAACTAAAGGGTACAGTAAGCATTAACTTAATGCAAGTCAGTTAAAGTAACTTATCAACTCTGAAGTCACCACATCAATGTGTTTACATATCATTGCATACCCAAAGTTAAATGAAAATGAAGCTTCTTCTCCAGGCGGCCATACTGATGTTTTGTTTTGTTTCTAGATCCTGAAGGAGATCAGCACCCTCTTCCCATTCTTCACAGGAAACTATAAGGGCTGGCGGGACTCTGTGCGCCACAACCTCTCCTCTTATGACTGCTTTGTGAAGGTATGTTGAAATTATCACACAATTGAACCCTTATTACATTTAAAATACACATTTCAATCCATCTAGATTGTTTTGGTGTGAGATTTTGAGTGTTCTAATACGACTAGACTTGTCTGCTTTTTCTCAAATCTATGAAACTAGTTCAAACTCTGCTTAACCATACAAACACAACTCAAACACAATGTGCCTTTTCAGAAAAGCATGGTCCAAATACTTTCATCTTTGAACTATTTACTTTATACCAAAACCACGACTGCCAATGAGTGAGCCTCTTCGTACCTCTCCTCCTGTGCAGTGATGCAGTTGTAGTTTGGTAGAATGAAAATAGTTCCTAGAGTAGGGAACTGATTGAAACAAGATCTGTGTTTCATTTTGAAGTCATGATTTCTTGGAAGAGACGTGGTTGCAGGTTTTAAGCTGTACTTTCTAGTTCCATTGTTTTGAAGAGAGGGCAGACATCTTTTTCAGCTGAAATCACCAACAATCTGTAACTTGCAACCAAAACAATCTAAATTCATGAGTAGCATTACATATAAAAAGGGATAATATGTTTGATTTAACTGGCCTTTTAACATTTGCATCGCACTATAGGTATCTCTTTTAGAAATGTGCTCTAGGGGTTTTTGATTGAACCTTCTAACCAGTTTAGGGCCTATCCTCTGTTATTGTGATGGTTAACAATAAAACTAGGTCAGTCCGGTCTGACTAGGTTTTCAGGCCAAGTGCTCATCTCACTGTCTCCCCCCCCTCTCTCCACCTGTAGGTGCTGAAAGACCCCGGGAAGCCTCAGGAAAAGGTAACTTCTGGGCCGTGGAGCTGAGCCGGGTCCCTCTGGAGCTCCTGAAGAGGCAGAACACGGCGGTGTCCTCGGCAGGATGAGACCATCTTCGCCCAGGACCTCGCCCCCTACATCCTGCAGGGGGCACAAGGTTGACTCTGAGCCTCCTGCACCTCCTCCTCCACTTCCACCTGTCACCCCACCTCCCCATTGTACGTTCCAGAAACCCCTCCCCACCTCAGGAGGATCTGTTCCGCCCTAAACTGGACTCGTCCTTCGCCATCGACTCTCTGCTGCACAGCCTGCGTCCCCCGAGCGCCTCCGATGTGGACGTGTCCTCCAGGGACTGCTGGGGGAGGGGGGAGCGCCCTCGATCCCCTCGCTACGCCTCCTCCGCTCGCAGCGCCTCGGCATCCTCCGCCAGCCCTGCCTCCACCTCCTCGTCGGATGAGGACTGGAAAGGGATGTCTGGGAAACGTGTTCCTTTGGATGGAGAGGCCGGGGTCCGACTGGTACGAGACTACAGACCCCTCTGCACAAATCAGCTCGACGAGGACACCTTCTGCACCCCCATGGGAACTCCCTACGTCCTACGCCAAATATGCCCCCCCTAATGCTGTCGCCCCCCCCAGCATGCGGTTCAACGGAGGCCCTCTGATGCCCCTGCATGGCGGACTTCCTCTATACGGCTATGGCAGCTCTCCTGTAGCTCCGGGTCACTTTTTAGGGCACGCCTACTGGCCTTTACTCCCTAGTGGAAGGGTTTCTGCCCAAACCGCCCCCCTCCTTATGGACCTGGACAACATGTTGCAATCAGTGCCGCCCAATAAGAGTGTGTTTGACGTGTTGGTGCCGACCAATCAGAACTCACACCACCAACCCCCCAGTCAGTACACCCAGCAGAGCGGCCCCCACCTGAACAGGTACCCTCAGTACTGACTGAAGCTCTGACTATTGGTGCAGGACTGGAAGATAAACCACACAGGAAATACATTTCTGATGCAAACTCTCCTAAATCCGCATCAATCACTACCTCCAGGACAAGAAATGTTGACATATGAACTCCCTCATGTTTTTAAATAGATTAAAAGTCTGCGTTTTATTTTTGTATGTTGCTATTTCTCCTTATTGTTTGTCAGTGTGTGGAGTATTACATGGTTTCTTTGTGCCACAAACAGCTATACAACAAAACAGATCTACCTCAGACTCACTGCAATACCAATCTAAGTTGCATTGTTTTTTTATTGGCACGATTTTTTTTAATACATGAATTACTTTTGTATGTTGTCTACCTCGACGCTGAATGTATTGTTGGATCTAATCTTGAATTTAAAGTCAAGAAAAGTTTGAAATAACTGTTTTTTCAGGGTGTGAACACTCACTTGTTCAGATTACCAAAATGTTTTTCCTTGTCTGACTCTCTCAGTTTGGCCGTATAATTGTCTTATTCCATTTGTGTGTGATTGCTTTACAAAAACAATCTTAACCAACAAAATTGACAACATTTTAAATTGTAGTCATTCTGTGAAAATACTGCCTGTCTTGAGGACAAACACTACACAACCTCCAGTCTCTACCTCAGGTTTGAATGTTTCCTGTGGACGTTGCACTATTTTAATGTCATGATGATCATCTTCCAAATGAAATTGCTTGTAAATATCTGCCTACCTCGACAGCTGAATGTTTTGTTAGCCGTTTTTCCTGTGGTCTTGTTAAAGGTTTGTACAGTAACGAGCTGGAAGGGAAAACAGCTCAACGTATTATAAGGAGGAAGTGGAGTGGAACATGTCTTCCTGGTCGAATGTACTTATTGTAAGTCGCTTTGGATAAAAGCGTCAGCTAAATGTAATGTAATGTAACGGGGTACGCAATAAAATGCTGTTTATTTTAACTCTGCTGCTCAGTGTCGTTTGTGGCAATGACTAAAGTCAAACTGCAACTCAGTCTCTTTACGGTGTGCATGTTGGATTGACTTTATCATTTATGTGTTAGTTTCAGCACGTTGGTTCAGATGCTGTTTAGGGCGGCTCGGTTTATTTGCTGACAGCTGGACTCTAGCAGTGTTGCACAATTTGACTAATGGCTGTCTCTTTAAGTCTCTTGCTCTTTAATATTCAATGATTATTGGCTTTGGTTCTTCACTGCAGTTGAACTGCAATGATAGAGCGACTCATTTTAAAGCAATTTTTCATGCAAAAGTATAAGAAAATGCTTTATACTATAAATACTATCTTTTTCAGTTTGATATCAAAGCAAATATCTTTAGGAATCTTCGGCCATTTCATAAACCAATTAAGAGAATACTCAGATCAATCAATATAGCCGTTAGCTGCATACAATTACTTTATTCAATCGATTTGTTTTTTAACTTTTTAGACATTTGTAGCTAATGTTTTAACTATTAAGCCATTACACATAGCTTCCTAATTTGACCATTTAATAGTTCATTTAAACCACTGTTCAAACTATTTCAATTTGTTATACATCACCTTAAAGGTGGGTTAAAGGTAAGTTTGAGAAACCGGCTCAATATACACTTGTTATATTCCAAGGAATGCTCTTAACATCCAGATAGCAATGAATATCTGAAGTGCTTTGACAAAAAATACATTAAAAAAACCTCATCTGAGCCGGCCCGGCTAAAGTAACTGGATGGCCTACCTGCCTGTCAGCCTTCCATCTGTGCACAAACTTATCTCGTGCCCTCATTGGTCATGTGCGCGTCCGTGTGTGTTGGAGGAGGGGCTCTGTGAGGAAGGGGCAGATTTTTTTTGGTTGTGTATTTTCAAATTCTAGCACTCGAGCTGGTTTCTCCATTCGTACCTACCCTACCTTTTAATTGTTCATTATTTAAACCACTGTTCAAACTATGTTCTCAACTATTTCAATTTTTTATACATCACCTTAAACTATTAGACCTGATTAATTCGACTAAATATTTCAACTTATTATTCAAGCATTTGTATCCACCATCTTCTGTTAACTATCTCATCTATTCATAATTTTTAGTACATTATTTTAAACTCCAACCCCATTTATCTTATAGCTATCTTTGTCAAGAAGGAATTCATTTTCGTTAGCTCTCTTTTTGTACCGTTTATTTTGACTAAGTTGAAATGAAGTCATTTATCTCAATTAGTTATTTAGTCAATGTATGAACGCCAGGCTTTACTAATGACCTGTTTTAAGATAGATTGGTTGTTAGGGTTGCCTCTACAGTTTCTCAAAGCATTTACATGAACTCTGTCTATTTAATTTCACAACTAAGGACTTTCTCTTGAGTCACGCTTTCTTTCTCTTCAGTCTCCAAAACCCAAAGCTATTTTCTTCCAGTAACTGAAGTGTAGAGATGGAGAGATAGTGCCAGATAGCAACAGGGGGCGAGTTAGAAATCCTCCTCAGTTTTGATAGACAGTTTTAACCACAGGAATTGTGATCTATAAACAACAATCTTTGATCCACAGCCCAACACACACACACACACACACACACACACACACACACACACAGCACACACACACACACCACACACACACACACACACACACACACACACACACACACACACACACACACACACACACACACACACACACACACACACACACACACACACACACACACACACACACGCACACACACACACACACACACACTTTACATCCAGAGTCCAGCCGTCAGCCTCCTGCTGTTCTCTGCTATCTCTTTATCAGCCGCCTGCTCATGCCTGCACTCCCTCACCATCCTTCCTCCTCTCCTCCCTCATCATTCCTCACCCACAGAGGGGAGGAGGGGACGCCACTTAAACAGGGACATGTCCCCTTCCCCCAAAAACACACACACGAGCCATTCTTGAATGCATCTCAACAGCTCCTCATGAATTTACATGCATGGCTGACATTGTGTTGTTTAATGGTCTGTGATTGCCTGGCTGGAAGTATTCTTCAAATTGTCTGCGTTCCCACACCCTTTTTTAGAATTGTCTATAGTAAAAGGGATATTATTGTTAAAGTGAATTATGTATGATATGTAGTGAAATCTGATATAGCTATGTACTTATTTGTGTGTATATACAGTATAAGTATTTGCACATTCATACTAGGCTTTTCTGATGTTTTCCTTCCTTTTACATTTTTATTTTGTTCTCAACTTTACCGTTATCCTTTTAATGCAAATGATATATTAGTATATTTAAGCAACAGTACATTAATGTTAACTCTTATAACAATGAAAAAAATCCCAATACCTACTTCCATACTGCACACGTTTCACAATGTAAATTAATCTTTGCAACCATTTCACACAATTCCTACAAACACATTCATCGTCTTACATTAAAACACGTAGGGTTTTCTCTAAAAGGAATACAAAGAGGACAGTCTAATTAGTAGAAATGGGGTTTATTTGACACTACATTAGGACTTTGTTGTTCCAGTTCAACGCAGATTAGCAGCTGCTTCATTCAATTTAATTCAAAACCTTTATTTATCCAGGTAAAATCCCATTGAGATCAATGATCTCTTTTTCAAGGGAGACCTGCAGATATGATTTACTTCAATTAACTTCAGTTCATTTCAGTATTAAAACACACTATGCTTTCCCTTACCTGGCTAATGTACACTGGGATGTGTTGTATCACAATGGGACTGTAAAAAGATGTGTAAATATTAAACTAACAAGCGGTTGTTACATCTAAAGTCAACACATCCCTATTGTCTGTTGAATACAGTATGTTGTATATGTTATATAAACAATTAAATGTATATTTCTATAAACAGATTCTACAAAACAGTATTATTGAAAAGAGTTTTGTGCCTGAGGTTATTTTATGCTACCAAAATAAATCTGTTGCTTGACACATTTCCCCTTTTTAACGTTACTGTGTGCCTTTCTCTGTCTCACAGTTTATTGCTGTGAGACAGAGAAAGAATCCTTCACTGACAAAAAGCCCCTCTCTGTTTCTGTGATTTCCCACCTCTTCTTCTTCTCTCTGTTAACCCTTCCTCTCTTTCTGACTCCTCTTCACACTCCCTCTTGGGCCATCCGGTACTCGAAGACGCTGCCTCTCTCGGGGAAAGAGTCGTCGAGGCGCCGGCGCTTCGTTTGGGGTTTTCCGTTCGTGTCCCCCTCTCTTCCATACCCTCCTCCTCCGGGGGTGTAGAGGCAGAACATGTCCTATAGGGGGAGACAGAGAGAAGGTTAATCTGACTGCTTATAGTTAAGATAAAATCAAATAAGAAGTACCTTATTGATCCCAATTTGGGAAATGTTTGAGTTGCAGCAGCATAAAAGACATGGCATTGTACAATACAAATTAAAAGGTAAGAAATAAACAAGAAAGTAGAAAATATACATGTTGTCAGTTTACTCTTTGACCATTTTTGAAATGTAAAGCTTTACATGAACTACATTTTCAAGCTAGTTCACAACAGCTTTCTTATGTGCTTCATTCTGTGTTTACCCTATGGTCCAAAAACACGCTATTCTTCTGCTTTCCTGCACAAAAAGAATAATAATGCATTCAAATAAATGTTGTTGCTAATCATAGATATTATCCAAACCGTGAAAAACATCCTTCAAAAATTGAGCATACAGAAAATCATTTAATTATTTGGCTCAAACATTGGCATTATGTAAACACACTGGCATTTAAAGAGTTACAATCGTGGAAGTATTTAGTCGTTTTTCGGTAGATATTTGGCAGATCGGGACTAATATTGGTTGAGAGTGAAAGTGGAAAGTAATAAACTATATTTTTATGGCAGCTTTTGACGCAGACACATTTGAAAAGTGAAGCACAATGGTTGAAATGTTTGCTTTAAATATAAATATGAAAAAGGATCATTGCCATGTAAGTAACGTGAATACACAGGAATGAACCTGCGATCAGAATATGTTTTCCATGCAACATAACAACGTTCATTTCACTATGACATTTGTAAATACTGTTTCTTTCACACATGCACAGTCTATATATATATCCTTTATTTAACCAGGTAAAAAGTCTCATTGAGATTAAAATCTATTGACCTGGCCAAGAAGGGCAGCAAGAACAACAGATACAACACAGACAATACAGGCAGACAAATACAGCTGTAAAAACAAATTAAATGGCACATTAACCAGTCTATATGCGATAAAAGAAACTATTAGAAATCATTAAAAACGGTCAGTCTTAGTCTCACCCCGGGCTGCAGGCTGACGCTGGTCTTGCCTCCCAGGTTGAGGACTCGTCCGTCGGCTCTGTGCAGGAGGTTCAACCCGGAGGAACCGTCCTCCCCCCCTGAGCCGCAGAGAGAGAGAGAGCAAATACCTTTCAATGCAAATTAAACATTCCATATGCATATATTATAATGACTATTATCATAATTATCTTAGTATCAGTTGATGTAAAATAGGATGATAAATGAAACTGTCTTGTTATCTGAACATGGACTTGTAGGAATTTATTTTTTAGAAATGGATGTATGTATATGTGTACATATGTATGTGTATGTATATATAGAATTTAGTTTATCTGTGTGAGTATTTAATGATCTTTTATTGACTTTACCCTGCAACAGGATGACTAACGGGAGGGCTACCTCTGTATAAACTGCTTTCTGCCCCCCCACTTCTACATTGTGTTTGTTTTTTAGATGTATAAACTGTCTAATTGTTGAAATAGTAGAATAAATAATAATTTAAAAAAAAGATACAAGTCTATATACATGTAAATAGAATATGATATGTACAAGTACAGAATATTAAATAAAATAATGTAAATTAAGACAAAATTCAATACGGTTTATTGCGGTGTATAAAATGTCTGCTGGTTCAGGTTGAAAGGGTCAGAGGTTGTTACAGGATGTGTATTTTGTATATTGTGTAATTCTTATTATAATTTTTGTA